TGCTGTACAGGCCAAATTCGAATCCTCCCTCTTCCAGTCTGAGCCGCCTTGTACAGGGACTTCAAGTCAAATTCAGGTGCTTAAAAAAAAAATACATGAAAACCCCGATTTATAACGGGGAGCAGATATTGCTTTCTTCTCTCATACTCCACTAGGCCACAGTATGCATTTTACAGCCCATTCATAAAATGCAGGCCTTGGTGTGCAGCCTGTGGTACCCTACAAGGTTCTGTCTGCTTCATGATTGGAGGAGAGTCAACCAAGTTGACTGACAGGCAGGGGCGGACTGACAACTCATGGGGCCCCTGTGAACTCGCCCACACTCAAACCACACCCAAAAACGCCTATGAAAGGTACCAGGGGCATCTCATGGGGCCCCCTACTGACCCCAGGCCCTCGGGCAGTGCCCGAGTTCCCAAATGGTCAGCCCGCCCCTGCTGACAGGTCACATGACCAAGCTCTGCTCCTAGTTTTTCTTTTTTTTTTTTATCAATGCGCCACCCCCCCACCGTACATGTACTGCAGTTGTGCTGCACTGCCAGGCTGGGCGAAGTACCCACACGTGGCGGCCTTTCTTCTGGGGTTTGTTCATGAGTGCACGTGCCCTGACCAGGGGCGGTCTGACAACTCATGGGGCCCCCGGGAAATAGGGGATCATGGGGCCCCTGTGTCCTTGCCCACACTCAAAGCATAACCAAAAAAAAGCCTATAAAAGGTACCAGGGGCATTTCATGGGGCCCCCTGGCCCTGACCCAGAGGCGTCCCTAGGGTTGGTGTCGCCCGGTGCGGTAACACTTGGTGACACCCCCTCCGATGATCCCCGCAGGATGGATCGGATCTTCGGATTGAGCAGAATGGATTGGACTCTGATCCTTTATGCTCACTCTGCAGATCCAATCTATTCTGCGGGGATCGTCGGCTTGCTTTACAACTTACCTTTTTTGTGGAGCGGGTCCGGTGTCACCTCGTGCGGTCGGTGTCACCTCGTGCGGTCGGTGTCACCTCGTGCGGACCGCACCCCCCCCGTACCTGCCCTGGGACGCCACCGCCTTGACCTCTGCTGTGATTGGACGCAGCACGAGTTGGTCAGCAGGTTTCGACCAATGATTTTGGCTCTATACCTGCTGCTCGGCTATGGCCAATCATAGCACAGAGTTCTGTGTTTACAAAAAAACAGGCAGTCATCTGGCTGTTCCTTCTCCCTTCTCCCCATGAGTTGTCAGTCCGCCCCTGTTCCAGGGGCCCTTCTATCAGGAACAAACATCACGGAGATCTCTATGAAGGATTGTAGCAAAGTTGTCGTATCGGAAATTCTTTAATGCGATTTATTGACCTCGCACTGCGGATAACGGGACAAATGTTCCTTTCCGGGTAACAATCGTCCTTTCCTCATTGGTGTCAGATCTGAATGCAGAATCACAATGATATCAGAAATCCGGTATAATAATATCCAGTCTTTATGGTGTCACTTATTTACAAATGAAGGAAAAAGGAAAACCCCATCATTCTGTGTGCAAATATAAACTATAAATATGAAGAGTCTTCAAAAGGTTTCCATATACAGTGCATTGAATAATCCCCCCCCCCCGAAATGTCCCCCATGTTGTCACGTTACAATGTATCCCCCCCCTGAAATGTCCCCCATGTTGTCATGTTACAATGTATTCCCCCTCCCCCCAGAAATGTCCCCTATGTTGTCACGTTACAATGTATCCCCCCCCCTGAAATGTCCCCCATGTTGTCATGTTACAATGTATTCCCCTCCCCCCTGAAATGCCCCCCATGTTGTCATGTTACAATGTATCCCCCCCCCTATGTTGTCATGTTACAATGTATTCCCCTCCCCCCCCGAAATGTCCCTCATGTTGTCACGTTACAATGTATTCCCCCCCCCCCGAAATGTTCCCCCATGTTGTCACGTCACAATGTATTCCCCCCCCCCCGAAATGTTCCCCCATGTTGTCACGTTACAATGTATTCCCCTCCCCCCCTGAAATGTTCCCCATGTTGTCATGTTACAATGTATTCCCCCCCCCCCCGAAATGTTCCCCCATGTTGTCACGTTACAATGTATTCCCCTCCCCCCCTGAAATGTCCCTCATGTTATCATGTTACAATGTATCCCCCCCCCATGTTGTCATGTTACAATGTATTCCCCTCCCCCCTGAAATGCCCCCCATGTTGTCATGTTACAATGTATCCCCCCCCCTATGTTGTCATGTTACAATGTATTCCCCCCCCCCCCTGAAATGTCCCCCATGTTGTCATGTTACAATGTATTCCCCCCCCCGAAATGTTCCCCCATGTTGTCACGTCACAATGTATTCCCCCCCCCCGAAATGTTCCCCCTTGTTGTCACGTTACAATGTATTCCCCCCCCCGAAATGTTCCCCCATGTTGTCACGTTACAATGTATTCCCCCCCCCGAAATGTTCCCCATGTTGTCACGTTACAATGTATTCCCCCCCCCCCCCCTGAAATGTCCTCCATGTTGTCATGTTACAATGTATTCCCCTCCCCCCTGAAATGCCCCCCATGTTGTCATGTTACAATGTATCCCCCCCCATGTTGTCATGTTACAATGTATTCCCCTCCCCCCTGAAATGTCCCCCATGTTGTCATGTTACAATGTATCCCCCCCATGTTGTCATGTTACAATGTATCCCCCCCCCCATGTTGTCATGTTACAATGTATCCCCCCCCCCCCCATGTTGTCATGTTACAATGTACCCCCCCCCCCCCCCCATGTTGTCATGTTACAATGTATCTATCGGGATTGGATGTGGTGGACCGACACAAAGTGGCCCATAATTGTGAAGTGGAAGGAAAATGAGAAATGGATTCCAACATTTTGTGACCAATAAATCTGTGAAAAGTGTGGCGGCATTTGTATTCGGTCCCCCCCCTTTACTTTGATCCCCCTAACTAAAATCTAGTGGAACCAATTGCCTTCAGAAGTCACCTAATTAGTACATAGAGTCCCCTTGTGTGTCATGTGATCTCAGTATAAATACAGAAGCCCTCAGAGGTTTGTTAGAGAACATTAGTGAACAAACAGCATTATAAAGGACAAGGAAAACACCAGACGGGTCAGGGATGAAGTTGTGGAGAAGATTAAAGCAGGGTTAGGTTATAAAAAAAATCTCCCAAGTTTTGAGCATCTCACGGAGCACTGTGTTCAATCCATCATCCGAAAACGGAGAGTACGGCACAACTGCCAACCTACCAAGACATGGCCACCAGGGGGGGAGGGGAATACATTGTAACATAACAACATGGGGGACTTTTCGGGGGGGAGGGGAAAACATTGTAACATGACAACATGGGGGACATTTCGGGGGGATACATTGTAAAATGAAAACATGGGGGACATTTTGGGGGGAGGGGATACATTGTAACATGAAAACATGGGGGACATTTCAGGGGGGGGGGGGGGGGGGGGAATACATTGTAACATGACAACATGGGGGACATTTCGGGGGGATACATTGTAACATGACAACATGGGGGACATTTCGGGGGGATACATTGTAACATGACAACATGGGGGACATTTCGGGGGGGATACATTGTAACATGACAACATGGGGGACATTTCAGGGGGGGGGGAATACATTGTAACATGAAAACATGGGGGACATTTCGGGGGGGGGAATACATTGTAACATGAAAACATGGGGGACATTTCGGGGGGGGGGGAATACATCGTAACATGACAACATGGGGGATATTTCAGGGGGGGGGGGGAATACATCGTAACATGACAACATGGGGGACATTTCAGGGGGGAGGGGAATACATCGTAACATGAAAACATGGGGGGACATTTTGGGGGGGGGGGGAATACATTGTAACATGACAACATGGGGGACATTTCGGGGGGGATACATTGTAACATGACAACATGGGGGACATTTCAGGGGGGGGGGGAGGGAATACATTGTAACATGAAAACATGGGGGACATTTCAGGGGGGAGGGGAATACATTGTAACATGACAACATGGGGGACATTTCAGGGGGGGGGGAATACATTGTAACATGACAACATGGGGGACATTTCGGGGGGGGGGGGGGGGGGGGAATACATTGTAACATGAAAACATGGGGGACATTTCAGGGGGGGGGGGGAATACATTGTAACATGGCAACATGGGGGACATTTCAGGGGGGGGGGGGAATACATTGTAACATGGCAACATGGGGGACATTTCAGGGGGGGGGGGGGGGAATACATTGTAACATGACAACATGGGGGACATTTCATGGGGGGGGGGAATACATTGTAACATGACAACATGGGGGACATTTCAGGGGGGGGGGGGAATACATTGTAACATGACAACATGGGGGACATTTCGGGGGGGGACGACTTCTTCAAGGGCGCTGTATATATATATGTGTGTGTTGAACAAAGTCTGTGAAGACGTCTCGCCGAATCAGATTATAAATCACCAATAACATTGATACATTTTTCTGATCAGATGAACATAAATATCTAAAAATAAAGATTGGAATCGTCTCCTTCAATTATTATCTTATTATTATTATCACAAAATAAAGATTTATTTCAGTTTTTAAAGGTCTAAAATTCAGTTTTGACCCCCTGATGGAGGGGAACCATGGCCCCCAGTAACAGCAGCGGGGGGGGGGGTCGCTTAGTGGATAAAGTGCCCGGTAATCTACTGGGGTGAAATGAGACATTAGAAGGTCAAAGGTCCTCATGCAGCCTCACTCCATCTATGCATGGGAGCTTCAGTCTATGAGATTCCAATGGCAGTAGTCTTGGCTCCTCCCCTCCTGTGACACCATGATGAAGGTGTCACTCTGCCATTATTTGTCTAGGCGTTGGGGGAGGAGGACACCATTAGGCTTTGTACCGGTTGCAGCAGTAGTGTGGAAGGAAATATTTCTGGAGTAGAGAGGTATAAATATGCTACAGAAACGTAACGTCAGTGAGGGACGGAGTCGCCCTTTAACCCGCGGCTGACTCCTGAAGGTTCAGCAGGGTGGGCTGGGCGGCAGGTGACCCCACAATTCCAGCAGCTTCATCCGCTCCGCCGGTGGAGTAGAGAAGTAAAGCGTCTGGTCCTCGGAGTACTTCTCCTCCGCCGGCAGCACGTCCCGGTACTTCCCGTCCCGCCAATTAAAGTTGAAGTTCTCCAGGAGCCGGATCCGGTCCTCCCGGCTGGGAACGCAGTCTATAGGCTCAAGCTCCTCCAAGCCCGGGGCCCGGACGTCGGGTGAACACCAGCACAGCGCGGATGGCGAACCAACCACCGTACTGCGGGTGAATGCAAACGCCGAACATCTTCTGAAAGAAAGAAAATACAAAGGAAAAAAATGAGAAACTGGACAGAGACGACGGCGGCTGAAATCCAACAGAGAGGGATGCCTAGTGGACGGGCCAAGGAACTGCAGACAACGTAAAAACTTTATTTAAAAAAGAAAACAAACAAAAATGATTTAGGTGGGAAAATAATTCATGAACATTTTTGTTTGTTAAAGTAGAAAAAAAAGTGAGCAGAAAAAGATATTTATTGTAAGAGACATACAACGTATCTTCCGGGATTTCGGGTGGCTCGGTGAAGGAGGTCTTGGCATGCGTTGGTGGTGGGATGACCCAACCCCCGCACGCATGTATGTGAATGATGCCACCCTGGGCCAATCAATAAAGCCGACAAACCCAGAGGAGCCGGGTGAAGGCGCTCATGGACTCCGCATCGCTGGAGCACAGCCAGGAGGTGACTTTAGTTCCAAGTTAACAGATGCTGAATCTGGTCTGAGCATTCCAGGCCGGCGGGACTTCCGTTCACAGTCATGGATTGAAGATGAAGAAGAAAAGCCTCCTCCAATCACAGAGGATTCAAGAGGGGGCGGAAAAACGCAGCCGCCAGAGCAAAACTTTGTACCATAAACCCCGCCCACAATGACAGAAATGAATGAACACAATAACAACGAGTGTCGAAAATGTGGAGGAGGAAGGAGAAGGAAAATAAGAAATAGAAGATGGAGGAAGGAATGGAGGAAGGAATGGAGGACGACAGACAGGGACTCCTCACCCTCCCCACCCCCACAGCTCCTGCCTCCACCCCCTCCTAGGACTCCTCATTGTCTACTCTTCATCCTCTTCCTCCTAGGTCTCCTTACCTCCTACCTCAGGGTTCCTCACCTCTCTCCCCAAGGGCTCCTATCACTCTCCAACATTCCAGGGCTCCTCAGCCCCTTCCCTCATGGTTCCTCTCCCCCCAAGGGTTTCCCACCCTCTCCACCCCCACAGGCTCCTCATCTTCACCCTCCTAGGTGTCCTCGCTCTCAACACCACAGAGCTGCCCGTCCTCTCTCCCCTCATGATTCCTCACCTTCTCCATCCCCAAGGCTCCTTACCCTCTCAACCCCCAAGGCTCCTCATCACCTCTCCCTTCATGGTTTCTCATCCCCTCTCCCTCCAGTGTTCCTCACCCTTTCCACCCCCAGAGCTCTTCTGCCTCCCAGGGCTCCTCATCCTCGCCCTCCTAGGTGTCCTCACTTTCTACGGTTCCCCACTATTTATCCCTCCAGGGCTCCTCACTCTCTCCACTCCCCAGGGCTCCTCACCCTCTATTCCTCCAGTGTTCTTCACCCCCTCTCCTCACCCTCTCCACCCAAAGGCCTCCTAACCCTCTCTCCCCTCATGGGTCTTCACCCTCTCTCCTCATCCTCTGTCCCCTCAGGGCTCCTCACCCTCTCCACCCCCAAGACTCCTCATCTTCTCTCCCTCCTCACTCTCTATCTCTCCACGGGAACTTCATCCTCTCTCTCCTCATGGTTCCTCACCCCTTGTATCTCCAAGGCTTCTCACCTTCTTTCCCCAGTGTTCCTCATCCTCTACCCTCATGGATCCTCACCCTCTCCCTCCTCATGGTTCTTCACCCCCTCTCCTCAGGGATCCTCACCCTCTTCCTCCTCATGGTTCTTCACCCCCTCTCCTCAGGGTTCCTTATCCTCTCTCCTCTTAGGGCTTCTCGCCCTCTCCACTTCCAGGGCTCCTCACTCTCTATCCCTCCAGGGCTCCTCAAGCTCTCCACCCCCAAGACTCCTCATCCTCTCTCTCCTCAAGGCTCTTCACCCTCTCCACCCCCCCAGGGCTCCTCACCCTCTAACCCTCCAGGGCTCCTCACCCTCTATCCCTCCAGGGCTCCTCAACCTCTATCCCTCCAGGGATCCTCAACCTCTATCCCTCCAGGGATCCTCAACCTCTATCCCTCCAGGGATCCTCAACCTCTATCCCTCCAGGGATCCTCAACCTCTATCCCTCCAGGGATCCTCAACCTCTATCCCTCCAGGGATCCTCAACCTCTATCCCTCCAGGGATCCTCAACCTCTATCCCTCCAGGGATCCTCAACCTCTATCCCTCCAGGGATCCTCAACCTCTATCCCTCCAGGGATCCTCAACCTCTATCCCTCCAGGGATCCTCACTCTCTATCCCTCCAGGGCTCCTCAACCTCTCTCCCCTCAAGGCTCTTCACCCTCTCCACCCCCAGGGCTCCTCACCCTCTTCCCCCAGGGATCTTCAGGAACGTCTTTCCTCTGGTAGTAGTACGCAGCTCCGGATACATGTGCTGCCGTCTGCATGAGAACTTTGGGTCGCCGGTTGGGGTGGAGCTCGTAGTCATAGATGACGTCCACTTGGTGAGATGGGAAAAGCTGAAGGACACACAAAGCACCAATCAGATACAACATACAGGAGGAGTCTGTCACAGGAGAGAAAATAATGTGTCCTACTGACAGGTTCTGTTATTTTGCGGCAGTTCGGCAATCCCCTCCCCCATGTGCTCCCAATACCCTACAAGAAGCCGATCTCTGTTCCCTCAGCCAATAGGATGCGATCGTTGTGGCGCAGTACACTGAATGCGGCGCTCCGTGTGTGGCTCACCTCTTTGGCCATCGCCATGTGATGGGCGACGCACTGGTCGATCGGATCCCGAAGGCTCTGAAGCTTCTTCTCCTTCAGGAAAGGTCTGAATGCGTTCTCGAACATGGAAGGTGCGCTGAGCACGACAAACGCCAGCGTGTCACCGGGGTAGGAGAGATGGAAGACCGGATCCAGGACGGCGTTGTACCAACCCACCTGAAACGAGAAGAATTCCGGGAATAAATCCTGTGGGGGTCCTACTCACTGAGCCACACCATATGAGATGGGTGATCTACCTCACTGAGCCACATGACCTCTATGGCCCCCCAGCCACAGGGGGGGGCAATACACAGCTAGAAGGCGCAGACATGGTAGCTGTAGGTCTGCAGAGCTTCTTGGTGGTAGGATGGGGGGACACATATCAAGAAGGGGCAGATATGGAACCTACAGGAATGTAGCACCCCCTGTTGGTAGAAAGGAGTAATAACAAAACTGGAAGGTGCAGATCTGTAAATCCATATGGTTTCAGAGCCCCCCATACCCCACTGCCCCCCAAAACTGCAGGGCTGTAGTGTCTCCAGTTGAGGGATTAGGTAATACACACCAGTAAGTGAAATATCAGGAATCCATATGACTTTAGCACCCCCCTGTGGCAGGGGGTAATACACACCTGGGAGGGGTAGATCAGGAACCAATAGGACTGTAGCACCCCCTGTCCCCACGTGGTAGGAGGGGGTAATACACACCTGGAGGGGGAAGATCTGGAACCCATAGGGCTGTAGCGCCCCCAGTGGTAGGAAGGGGTAATACACACCTGGAAGGGGTACATCTGGAACCAAAAGGACTGTAGCACCCCCTGTCCCCACGTGGTAGGAGGGGGTAATACACACCTGGAGGGGGAAGATCTGGAACCCATAGGACTGTAGCACCCCCAGTGGTAGGAGAGGGTAATATACACCTGGAAGGGGTAGATCTGGAACCAATAGGGCTATAGCACCCCCAGTGGTAGGAAGGGGTAATATACACCTGGAAGGGGTAGATCTGGAACCAATAGGACTGTAGCATCCCCCTCCCCACGTGGTAGGAGGGGGTAATACACACCTGGAGGGGAAAGATCTGGAACCCATAGGACTGTAGCGCCCCCAGTGGTAGGACGGGGTAATACAAATTAAAGGACTAGATCTAGAACCCATAGGGCTGTAGCACCCCCAGTGGCAGGAGGGGGTATTACACACCTGGAAGGAGTAGATCTAGAACCCATAGGGCTCTAGCGCCCCCAGTGGTAAGACAGGGTAATACACACCTGGAGTGGGTAGATCTGAAACCCATAGGCCTGTAGAACCCCCCAGTGGTTAGGAGGGGGTAATACTCACCTGGAAGAGGTAGATCTGGAAGCCATAGTACTGTAGCTCCCCCAGTGGTAGGAGGGGGTAATACACACCTGGAAGGGGTAAATCTGGAACCCATAAATCTGTAGTGCCCCCCCAGTGGTAGAAGGGGGTAGATCTGGAACCCATAGGGCTGTAGTGCCGCAAGTGATAGGAGGAGGTAATACACACCTGGGTGGGGGTAGATCTGGAACTCATAGGGCTGTATTGCCCCCAGTGGTAGGAGGGGGTAGTACATACCTGGAAGGGGTGGATGTGGAATCCATAGGGCTGTAGCACCCCCCAGTGGTAGGAGAGGAAAATACAAACCTGGAGGGGGTGGATCTGGAATCCATAGGGCTATAGCGCCCCCCAGTGGTAGGAGGGGGTAATACAAACCTGGAGGGGGTGGATCTGGAACCCATAGGGCTGTAGCACCCTTAGTGGTAGGAGGGGGGTAATACAAACCTGGGGGGGGTGGATCTGGAACCCATAGGGCTGTAGTGCCCCCAGTGGTAGGAGGGGGTAATACAAACCTGGAGGGGGTGGATCTGGAACCCATAGGGCTGTAGCGCCCCCAGTGGTAGGAGGGGGTAATACACACCTGGGAGGAGGGGGTAATACACACCTGGAAGGGGTGGATCTGGAACCCATAGGGCTGTAGCGCCCCTAGTGGTAGGAGGGGGTAATACAAACCTGGTGGGGGTAGATCTGGAACCGATAGGGCTGTAGCGCCCCCATTGGCAGGAGGGGGTAATACACACCTGGAAGGGGTAGATCTGGAACCCATAGGGCTGTAATGCCCCCAGTGGTAGGAGGGGGTAATACACGCATGGAAGGACTAGATCTGGAACCCAAATGGCTGTAGCACCCCCCAGTGGTAGGAGGGGGTAATACACACTGTGTATAACTTATATCACCATAATGTGCACTAATGGGAGGATTCACAAACAGTCACGGATTCATATGCAATCACGGATTGAAGATTAATTAAAGTACTAAGTCACTATTTTTATGTTTTTACGGGACACTGTTTCTACACAATATTAATTAAGTATATACAGTCATGGCCGAAATTGTTGGCACCCTTGATATTTTTCCTGAAAATCAAGTATTTCACACAAAAAAGGTATTGCATTAACACATGTTTTGCTATACACATGTTTATTCCCTTTGTATGTATTGGAACAAATATAAAACAGAGGCAGAAAAGCAAATATGACATAATGTCACACAAAACCCCAAAAATGGGCTGGACAAAAGTATTGGCACCCTTAACTTAATATTTGGTTGCACACCCTTTGGAAAACATAACTGAAATCAGTCGCTTCCTATAACCATCAATAAGCTTCTGACACCTCTCACCCGGAATTTTGGACCACTCTTCCTTTGCAAACAGCTCCAGGTCTCTCTTATTGGAAGGACAACCTTTTCCCAACAGCAATTTTAAGATCTCTCCACAGGTGTTCAATGGGATTTAGATCTGGGCTCATTGCTGGCCACTTCAGAACTCTCCAGCGCTTCTTTGCCATCCATTTCTGAGTGCTTTTTGACGTATGTTTGGGGTCATTGTCCTGCTGGAAGACCCAGGATCTTGGACGCAAACCCAGCTTTCTGACACTGGGCCCTACAGTGCGACCCAAAATCCTTTGGTAATCCTCAGATTTCATGATGCCTTGCACACAGTCAAGGCACCCAGTGCCAGAGGCAGCAAAACAACCCCAAAACATCATTGAACCTCCACCATATTTTACCGTAGGTACTGTGTTTTGTTCTTTGTAGGCCTCATTCCGTTTTCGGTAAACAGTAGAATGATGTGCTTTACCGAAAAGCTCTATCTTGGTCTCATCTGTCCACAAGACGTTTTCCCAGAAGGCTTTTGGCTTACTCAAGTACATTTTGGCAAACTGTAGTCTTGCTTTTTTATGTCTCTGTGTCAGCAGTGGGGTCCTCCTGGGTCTCCTGCCATAGCGTTTCATTTCATTTAAATGTCGACGGATAGTTCGCGCTGACACTGATGCTCCCTGAGCCTGCAGGACAGCTTGAATGTCTTTGGAACATGTTTGGGGCTGCTTATCCACCATCCGGACTATTCTGCGTTGCAATCTTTCATCAATTTTCCTCATCCGTCCACGACCAGGGAGATTAGCTACAGTGCCATGGGTTGCAAACTTCTTGATAATGTTGCGCACTGTGGACAAAGGCAAATCTAGTTCTCTGGAGATGGACTTGTAACCTTGAGATTGTTGATATTTTGCCACAATTTTGGTTCTCAGGTCCTCAGACAGTTCTCGTCTCCTCTTTCTGTTGTCCATGCTTAGTGTGGCACAGACAGACACACAATGCAAAGGTTAAGTGAACGTCTCTCCTTTTTATCTGCTTTCAGGTGTGATTTCTATATTGCCCACACCTGTTACTTGCCCCAGGTGAGTTTACAGGAGCATCACATGCTTGTAACATTCTTATTTATCCGCAGTTGTGAAAGGGTGCCAATACTTTTGTCCAGCCCATTTTTGGAGGTTTGTGTGACATTATGTCGAATTTGCTTTCTTTCCTCCCTTTTTTTGTTTTGTCCCAATACACACAAAGGGAATAAACATGTGTATAGCAAAACATGTGTTAATGCAATACGTTTTTTTCGTGAGAAATACATGATTTCCTGGAGAAATATCAAGGGTGCCAACAATTTCGGCCATGACTGTATGTATATTTATTTTTGAGATTTATTTTTTTTTTCACTAAAAATGATGTATTATTGATTTAGCAATTTTATAATCACGGATATATATTAAGATTATGAATTATTTAGTTTTTTAAGTAAATTAAGAGATTATTATATATGTATTTTGGTCAAAGGATTTAATGTACGTTTAGTTATTTTTTCACTTGTCTATACATGATCATTTGTATTGGGCATGGATAAGCGATCATAAGTATTAAGGAGCGCAACACATTATGGTGATACAAGTTATACACGGTGGTAGTTATGTGTTGGGTGTTTGCGATCCAATTATATTAAGGATATTTTGTCCAGTTTTGTGCGTTAGGGTGGTTATCTGATTTGGCTCGCAAGATATATAAACATTTTTAGGGGGTAATACACACCTGGAAGTAGATCTGGACCCCATAGGACTGTAGCGCCCCCAGTGGTAGGAGGGGGTAGATCTGGAACCCATAGGACTGTAGCGCCCCCAGCGGTAGGAGGGGGTAATACACACCTGGAAGTAGATCTGGAACCCATAGAGCTGTAGCGCCCCCAGTGGTAGGAGTAGGGTAATACACACCTGGAGGGGGTGGATCTGGAACCCATAGGGCTGTAGCGCCCCCAGTGGTAGGAGGGGGAAATACACACCTGGAGGGGGTGGATCTGGAACCCATAGGGCTGTAGCGCCCCCAGTGGTAGGAGGGGGTAATACACACCTGGAGGGGGTGGATCTGGAACCCAAAAGGCTGTAGCGCCCCCAGTGGTAGGAGGGGGTAATACACACCTGGAATGAGTAGATCTGGAACCCATAGGACTGTAGCGCCCCCAGTGGTAGGAGGGGGTAATTACACACCTGGAGGGGGTAGATCTGGAACCCATAGGACTGTAGCGCCCCCCAGTGGGAGGAGGGGTAATACACACCTGGAGTGGGTAGATCTGGAACCCATAGGACTGTAGCGCCCCCAGCGGTAGGAGGGGGTAATACACACCTGGCGGGGGTAGATCTGGAACCCATAGGACTGTAGCGCCCCCAGTGGTAGGAGGGGTAATACACACATGGAGGGGGTAGATCTGGAACCCATAGGGCTGTAGCGCCCCAGTGGTAGGAGGGGTAATACACACATGGAGGGGGTAAATCTGGAACCCCTAGGACTGTAGCGCCCCCAGTGGTAGGAGGGGGTAAATACACACCTGGAGGGGGTGGATCTGGAACCCATAGGGCTGTAGCGCCCCCAGTGGTAGGAGGGGGTAAATACACACCTGGAGGGGGTGGATCTGGAACCCATAGGACTGTAGCGCCCCCAGTGGTAGGAGGGGGTAATACACACCTGGAAGGAGTAGATCTGGAACCCAAATGGCTGTAGTGCCCCTAGTGGTAGGAGGGGGTAATACACACCTGGAAGGGGTGGATCTGGAACCCATAGGACTGTAGCGCCCCTAGTGGTAGGAGGGGGTAATACACACCTGGAGGGGGTGGATCTGGAACCCATAGGACTGTAGCGTCCCTAGTGGTAGGAGGGGGTAATACACACCTGGAAGGGGTGGATCTGGAACCCATAGGACTGTAGCGCCCCTAGTGGTAGGGGGGGTAATACAAACCTGGAGGGGGTGGATCTGGAACCCATAGGACTGTAGCGCCCCCAGTGGTAGGAGGGGGTAATACACACCTGGCAGGGGTGGATCTGGTACCCATAGGGCTGTAGCGCCCCCAGTGGTAGGAGGGGGTAAATACACACCTGGAAGGGATGGATCTGGAACCCATATGGCTGTAGCGCCCCCCAGTGGTAGGAGGGGGTAGATCTGGAACCCATAGGGTTGTAGCGCCCCCAGTGGTAGGAGGGGGTAGATCTGGAACCCATAGGGTTGTAGCGCCCCCAGTGGTAGGAGGGGGTAATACACACCTGGAGGGGGTAGATCTGGAACCCATATGGCTGTAGCGCCCCTAGTAGTAGGAGGGGGTAATACACACCTGGAGGGGGTGGATATGGAACCCATAGAGCTGTAGCGCCCCCAGTGGTAGGAGGGGGTAATACACACCTGGAAGGAGTAGATCTGGAACCCAAATGGCTGTAGCGCCCCCAGTGGTAGGAGGGGGTAATTACACACCTGGAGGGGGTAGATCTGGAACCCATAGGACTGTAGCGCCCCCGGTGGTAGGAGGGGGTAGATCTGGAACCCATAGGACTGTAGCGCCCCCGGTGGTAGGAGGGGGTAATACACACCTGGAGGGGTTGCATCTGGAACCCATAGAGCTGTAGCGCCCCCAGTGGTAGGAGGGGGGTAATTACACACCTGGATGGGGTGGATCTGGAACCCATAGGACTGTAGTGCCCCCCAGTGGTAGGAGGGGGTAATTACACACCTGGAGGGGGTAGATCTGGAACCCATAGGACTGTAGCGCCCCTAGTGGTAGGAGGGGGTAATACACACCTGAAGGGGGTAGATCTGAAACCCATAGGACTGTAGCGCCCCCAGTGGTAGGAGGAGGTAGATCTCGAACCTATAGGACTGTAGCGCCCCCAGTGGTAGGAGGAGGTAGATCTCGAAACTATAGGACTGTAGTGCCCCCAGTGGTAGGAGGGGGTAATACACACCTGGAAGGGGTAGATCTGGAACTCATATGGCTGTAGCGCCCCCAGTGGTAGGAGGGGGGGGTAGATCTGAAACCCATAGGACTGTAGCGCCCCCAGTGGTAGGAGGGGGTAATACACACCTGGAGGGGGTAAATCTGGAACCCATAGGACTGTAGCGCCCCCAGTGGTAGGAGGGGGTAGATCTGGAACCCATAGGGCTGTAGCGCCCCCAGTGGTAGGAGGGGGTAATACACACCTGGAGGGGGTGGATCTGGAACCCATATGGCTGTAGCGCCCCCCGCAGTCTCTCTCGGACCTCCACGTGCTCCCCCTCCATCTCCTCTCTCCATACAGGTCAGAAGGGGGCGGGATAGAGGTGTGGTGAAGGCGGGGCGGGGATTCCCTCCTTGGGTGCCGCCCAGAAGATTTATCCCGGCATTCCCCGCTCCGGCCGTTACAGCTCCATCACCCAGGAGACGCAGGAGGAGAGCCACCAATCAGGAGAGAGCAGAGGGGTCACTCCGCTCTATTGCGCCAATCAGGAGAGAGGACACGGTGTAGGTAAACTCCGAGGAGCCAATCAGGTGATAGGAAGCTGAGGGAGGCCCGCCGGGCGAGAGGCCAATCGGGAGAGAGAGCTCGGAGTACACGCAGACTGCAGGAACCAATCAGAGAAGGAACCCAATGTGAGAGCAGCCAATCAGGAAGGAGCTGTGAGAGCAACAGAGAGGTGAGCGATGCACTGCTATCCCCATCCTCAGCTTCCTCCTCCTCCTGTCCTCCCTCATCATCATCCCTGGCTCCCCCCCCACTTTGCTCAGAGTGAGTCCTCCTCTGTCTCCCACACATGGTGTCCCCTGTACAGGAATATTGGGGACATAAACTCCTCACTGATCTGTTTTCTTTCTGTCAGGTGACCAACAGACCGCCATGAGCTGGGACCGGCAGGTGGGCTCCGTCCTGACCGCCATGGATGACAATGTGGCCAAGATCAAGGTAGGAGGAGCGATCAGATCCATCATGGGGGCCCCCCCTTCCATCACGGGGGTCCCAACCCCCTTCTCCCCTCTGCTTCCATCACGGGGGTCCCAACCCCCTTCTCCCCTCTGCTTCCATCACGGGGGTCCCAACCCCCTTCCCCCCCCCCTCCGCTTCCATCACAGGGGTCCCAACCCCCTTCCCCCCCCCTCCGCTTCCATCACGGAGGTCCCAACCCCCTTCCATCACGGAGGTCCCAACTGCCCTCCCCCCTCTGCTTCCATCACGGGGGTCCCGACCCCCCCATCCATCACCAACCCCCTTCCCCCCCCTCCCTTCGCTTCCATCACGGAGGTCCCAACTCCCTTCCCTCCTCCGCTGCCATCATGGTGGTCCTAACCCCCCCCACTCCATCACGGAGGTCCCAACTCCCTTCCCTCCTCTGCTTCCATCATGGTAGTCCCAATCCCCTCCCCCCTTCCATCATGGAGGTCCCAATCCCCTCCCCCCTTCCATCATGGAGGTCCCAATCCCCTCCCCCCTTCCATCATGGAGGTCCCAACATCCTTCCCCCACCCCCCCCTCTGTCACGGAGGTCCGAACCCCCTCCATCACGGAGATCCCAATCCCCTTCCCCCCCCTCATCACGGAGGTCCCAACCCCCACCCCCCGTCACTGAGGTCCCAACGCACTTCCCCCCTGTCACAGAGGTCCTCTGTCATGGGGGTCTAACCCTGCTCCATTATGGGAGTCCAACTCCCCCCTCCCTCAATAATGGGGGTTCATATAATGTCCCTTCTCCCTCAATTATGGGGGTCTATGGCTGTAGACCCCCTTTCCAGGCCAGAGATCCCCAGTTAATTTTTTTGGGAAGGACTTTGTGATTGATTTTGGGTTTGTTTTCCTCATTGCAGGACAGACTGTACAACCGGGCGGAGCTCAGTAAGGGTAAGTGTGGTCTGTAGTCACCCTACGAATGGGGCTCATACTGTGAGTGGTGGTGGAGTCGTTCTGTGTGAGGAGACACAAGATGTGTTGGAGGACTGGAGGTTTGGTGTCGGTTCTCGTTGGAGGGCAGAGGTTTGGTGTTGGTTCCCGTTGGAGGGCGGAGGTTTGGTGTTGGTTCCCGTTGGAGGGCGGAGGTTTGGTGTCGGTTCCCGTTGGAGGGCGGAGGTTTGGTGTCGGTTCCCGTTGGAGGGGCGGAGGTTTGGTGTCGGTTCCCGTTGGAGGGCGGAGGTTTGGTGTCGGTTCCCGTTGGAGGGCGGAGGTTTGGTGTCGGTTCCCATTGGAGGGCCGGAGGTTTGGTGTCGGTTCCCGTTGGAGGGGCGGAGGTTTGGTGTCGGTTCCCGTTGGAGGGCGGAGGTTTGGTGTCGGTTCCCGTTGGAGGGCCGGAGGTTTGGTGTCGGTTCCCGTTGGAGGGCGGAGGTTTGGTGTCGGTTCCCATTGGAGGCGGAGGTTTGGTGTCGGTTCCCATTGGAGGGCGGAGGTTTGGTGTCGGTTTCTCGTTGGAGGGCGGAGGTTTGGTGTTGGTTCCTGTTGGAGGGCAGAGGTTTGGTGTCGGTTCTCGTTGGAGGGCGGAGGTTTGGTGTTGGTTCCTGTTGGAGGGCGGAGGTTTGGTGTCGGTTCTCGTTGGAGGGCGGAGGTTTGGTGTCGGTTCCCGTTGGAGGGCGGAGGTTTGGTGTCGGTTCCCGTTGGAGGGCGGAGGTTTGGTGTCGGTTCCCGTTGGAGGGCGGAGGTTTGGTGTCGGTTCTCGTTGAGGGCGGAGGTTTGGTGTCGGTTCCTGTTGGAGGGCGGGAGGTTTGGTGTAGGTTCCTGTTGGAGGGCGGAGGTTTGGTGTGGGTTCTCGTTGGAGGGCGGAGGTTTGGTGTGGGTTCTCGTTGGAGGGCGGAGGTTTGGTGTGGGTTCTCGTTGGAGGGCGGAGGTTTGGTGTTGGTTCCTGTTGGAGGGCAGAGGTTTGGTGTTGGTTCTCGTTGGAGGGCGGAGGTTTGGTGTCGGTTCCCGTTGGAGGGGTGGAGGTTTGTTCTCGTTGGAGGGGCGGAGGTTTGGTGTCGGTTCCCGTTGGAGGGCCGGAGGTTTGGTGTCGGTTCCCGTTGGAGGGGCGGAGGTTTGGTGTCGGTTCCCGTTGGAGGGCCGGAGGTTTGGGGTCGGTTCCCGTTGGAGGGCGGAGGTTTGGTGTCGGTTCCCGTTGGAGGGCGGAGGTTTGGTGTTGGTTCCTGTTGGAGGGCGGAGGTTTGGTGTTGGTTCCTGTTGGAGGGCGGAGGTTTGGTGTCGGTTCCCGTTGGAGGGGTGGAGGTTTGTTCTCGTTGGAGGGGCGGAGGTTTGGTGTCGGTTCCCGTTGGAGGGCCGGAGGTTTGGTGTCGGTTCCCGTTGGAGGGGCGGAGGTTTGGTGTCGGTTCCCGTTGGAGGGCCGGAGGTTTGGGGTCGGTTCCCGTTGGAGGGCGGAGGTTTGGTGTCGTTCCCGTTGGAGGGCGGAGGTTTGGTGTTGGTTCCTGTTGGAGGGCGGAGGTTTGGTGTTGGTTCCTGTTGGAGGGCAGAGGTTTGGTGTTGGTTCTCGTTGGAGGGCGGAGGTTTGGTGTCGGTTCCCGTTGGAGGGGTGGAGGTTTGTTCTCGTTGGAGGGGCGGAGGTTTGGTGTCGGTTCCCGTTGGAGGGCCGGAGGTTTGGTGTCGGTTCCCGTTGGAGGGCCGGAGGTTTGGTGTCGGTTCCCGTTGGAGGGGCGGAGGTTTGGTGTCGGTTCCCGTTTGGAGGGCCGGAGGTTTGGGGTCGGTTCCCGTTGGAGGGCGGAGGTTTGGTGTGGGTTCTCGTTGGAGGGCGGAGGTTTGGTGTGGGTTCTCGTTGGAGGGCGGAGGTTTGGTGTTGGTTCCTGTTGGAGGGCGGAGGTTTGGTGTTGGTTCCTGTTGGAGGGCAGAGGTTTGGTGTTGGTTCTCGTTGGAGGGCAGAGGTTTGGTGTTGGTTCTCGTTGGAGGGCGGAGGTTTGGTGTCGGTTCCCGTTGGAGGGGTGGAGGTTTGTTCTCGTTGGAGGGGCGGAGGTTTGGTGTCGGTTCCCGTTGGAGGGCCGGAGGTTTGGTGTCGGTTCCCGTTGGAGGGGCGGAGGTTTGGTGTCGGTTCCCGTTGGAGGGCTGGAGGTTTGGTGTCGGTTCCCGTTGGAGGGGCGGAGGTTTGGTGTCGGTTCCCGTTGGAGGGGCGGAGGTTTGGTGTCGGTTCCCGTTGGAGGGCTGGAGGTTTGGTGTCGGTTCCCGTTGGAGGGGCGGAGGTTTGGTGTCGGTTCCGTTGGAGGGCTGGAGGTTTGGGGTCGGTTCTCGTTGGAGGGCGGAGGTTTGGGGTCGGTTCTCGTTGGAGGGCGGAGGTTTGGTGTCGGTTCTCATTGGAGGGCCGGAGGTTTGGGGTCGGTTCTCGTTGGAGGGCGGAGGTTTGGTGTCGGTTCTCGTTGGAGGGCGGAGGTTTGGGTCGGTTCTCGGAGGGCGGAGGTTTGGGTCGTTCTTGGAGGGCGGAGGTCGGTCGGTTCCCGTTGGAGGGCGGAGGTTTTTGGTGTCGGTTCCCGTTGGAGGGCGGAGGTTTGGTGTCGGTGGAGGGCGGAGGTTTTTGGTGTCGGTTCCCGTTGGAGGGCGGCGGGTTTGGTGTCGGTTCCCGTTGGAGGGCGGAGGTTTGGTGTCGGTTCCCGTTGGAGGGCGGAGGTTTGGTGTCGGTTCCCGTTGGAGGGCGGAGGTTTGGTGTGGTGTCGGTTCCCGTTGGAGGGCGGAGGTTTGGTGTCGGTTCCCGTTGGAGGGCGGAGGTTTGGTGTCGGTTCCCGTTGGAGGGCGGAGGTTTGGTGTCGGTTCCCGTTGGAGGGCGGAGGTTTGGTGTCGGTTCCCGTTGGAGGGCGGAGGTTTTGGTGTCGGTTCCCGTTGGAGGGCGGAGGTTTGGTGTCGGTTCCCGTTGGAGGGCGGAGGTTTGGTGTCGGTTCCCGTTGGAGGGCGGAGGTTTGGTGTCGGTTCCCGTTGGATTTGGGGCGGAGGTTTGGGTGTCGGTTCCCGTTGGAGGGCGGAGGTTTGGTGTCGGTTCCCGTTGGAGGGCGGAGGTTTGGTGTCGGTTCCCGTTGGAGGGCGGAGGTTTGGTGTCGGTTCCCGTTGGAGGGCGGAGGTTTGGTGTCGGTTCCCGTTGGAGGGCGGAGGTTTGGTGTCGGTTCCCGTTGGAGGGCGGAGGTTTGGTGTCGGTTCCCGTTGGAGGGCGGAGGTTTGGTGTCGGTTTCCCGTTGGAGGGCGGAGGTTTGGTGTCGGTTCTCGTTGGAGGGCGGAGGTTTTGGTGTCGGTTCTCGTCGGAGGGCGGAGGTTTGGTGTCGGTTCTCGTTGGAGGGCGGAGGTTTGGTGTCGGTTCCCGTTGGAGGGGCGGAGGTTTGGTGTCGGTTCCGTTGGAGGGCGGAGGTTTGGGTCGGTTCTCGTTGGAGGGCGGAGGTTTGGTGTCGGTTCTCGTTGGAGGTCGGAGGTTTGGTGTCGGTTCCCGTTGGAGGGGCGGAGGTTTGGTGGTTCTCGTTGGAGGGGCGGGAGGTTTGGTGTCGGTTCCCGTTGGAGGGCGGAGGTTTGGTGTCGGTTCCCGTTGGAGGGCGGAGGTTTGGTGTCGGTTCCCGTTGGAGGGCGGAGGTTTGGTGTCGGTTCCCGTTGGAGGGCGTTGGAGGGCGGAGGTTTGGTGTCGGTTCTCGTTGGAGGGCGGAGGTTTGGTGTCGGTTCTCGTTGGAGGGCGGAGGTTTGTTCTCGTTGGAGGGGCGGAGGTTTGGTGTCGGTTCCCGTTGGAGGGCGGAGGTTTGGTGTCGGTTCCCGTTGGATGGCGGAGGTTTGGTGTCGGTTCCCGTTGGAGGGCGGAGGTTTGGTGTCGGTTCCCGTTGGAGGGCGGAGGTTTGGTGTCGGTTCCCGTTGGAGGGCGGAGGTTTGGTGTCGGTTCTCGTTGGAGGGCCGGAGGTTTGGTGTCGGTTCTCGTTGGAGGGGGCGGGGTTTTGGTGTCGGTTCTCGTTGGAGGGCGGAGGTTTGGTGTCGGTTCCCGTTGGAGGGGCGGAGGTTTGGTGTCGGTTCCCGTTGGAGGGGCGGAGGTTTGTTCTCGTTGGAGGGGCGGAGGTTTGTTCTCGTTGGAGGGGCGGAGGTTTGGTGTCGGTTCCCGTTGGAGGGGCGGAGGTTTGGTGTCGGTTCCCGTTGGAGGGCGGAGGTTTGGGGTCGGTTCTCGTTGGAGGGCGGAGGTTTGGTGTCGGTTCTCGTTGGAGGGTGGAGGTTTGGGGTCGGTTCTCTTTGGAGGGCGGAGGTTTGGTGTCGGTTCCCGTTGGAGGGTGGAGGTTTGGTGTCGGTTCTCGTTGGAGGGCGGAGGTTTGGTGTCGGTTCCTGTTGGAGGGCGGAGGTTTGGTGTCGGTTCTCGTTGGAGGGTGGAGGTTTGGTGTCGGTTCTCGTTGGAGGGCGGAGGTTTGGTGTGGGTTCTCGTTGGAGGGCGGAGGTTTGGTGTGGGTTCTCGTTGGAGGGCGGAGGTTTGGTGTCGGTTCTCGTTGGAGGGCGGAGGTTTGGGGTCGGTTCTTTTTGAAGGGCGGAGGTTTGGTGTCGGTTCTCGTTGGAGGGCGGAGGTTTGGTGTCGGTTCTCGTTGGAGGGCGGAGGTTTGCTGTCGGTTTTCGTTGGAGGGCGGAGTTTTGGGGTCGGTTCTCGTTGGAGGGCGGAGGTTTGGGGTCGGTGCTCGTTGGAGGGCGGAGGTTTGGGGTCGGTTCTCGTTGGAGGGCGGAGGTTTGGGGTCGGTTCTTGTTGGAGAATTACTTTTATTGTGTTCAGTTTTCAGCTCATTTTTCTTCTATCACCATTTATAGGAAATTATCGCTTTCAGTCACCACAGTTACTGTACGAGGGACACACCCCCTAAACCTGCCTCTCCGTGTGTACCGCCCACATACAGCTCCCCACCTATGGTCTCCTCAGAAGATATGGTTACCCTGAGCAGCCAGCTGCTGTCTCAAGCCAAGGTGCGTGACCAACCCCCCCCCGTGTCATAAACTACATGCATGGGACATTGGAGGTTAGGTGTGGGAGGTCAAGGTGGTTAGGTTTGGGGAGGTCAGGAAGGTGAAGAATAGGAGATTAGGTTGAGGGAGGTGAGAGTTAGCTGTTGGAGGGTAGATTGAGGAGGTCAGGAGGGTTAAGTGTGGAGACATCAGGATAGGATAGTTTGTGACGAGGTCAGAGTGGGTAGGTTTGGAGTGATGGGTTTGTGGGGAGGACGGGGTGGTTGGGGGTGGGAAGGTTGTTGGGTATAGCCCAGGGTTGTTAGCTGTGGGGAGGTGAGGAAGGTTAGGTGTTGGAGGGTAGATTGAGGAGGTCAGGAGGGTTAAGTGTGGAGACATCAGGAAAGGATAGGTGTGACGAGGTCAGAGTGGCCAGTGTGCAGTGATTGGGTGCGGGGAGGACAGGGTGATTTGGGGGTGGGGAGGACAGGGTGATTTGGGTGTGGGGAGGACAGGGTGATTTGGGTGTGGGGAGGTCGGGCTGGTTGGGAGTGGGGGAGGACGGGCCGGCTGGGTGTGGGGAGGATGGGGCCGGCTGGGTCTCTTATTATATGTCAGCCTGCAGATGGATCCAGCGATGTGGGTGTGGCAGATGGATACAGCGATGTGGGCGGTGCAGATGGATACAGCAATGTGGGTGGTGCAGATGGATACAGCGATTGGGGTGGGGGCAGAGATTGGGGCAGCGCAGAGTGAAGTGTAATCAGAGAGGACGGTCCTCTCCCAGATGTCCGAACTCCTCCTGCACCATCTAATTATCAGGCTCTGGCCTGGGAGGGACTTTTCCTTCACAGCAGCCTGTAGATGTGCGTTTGTAGACATTCGCACTCTCCTACAAATGCTATCTTCCTGGCCGTCACCTCGATCTTCCAGCTTCAGTACTTTGAGCCACTGACCTAAAAATAAAAAACAGAAACCCGGGTCCTGGCTAGAAAACCAGTTTTTTTCTGTGAGCTTTGCATGAGCGCCAGGCAAGTAGCATTTTCAGAAGGTGGTCAGCAGTGGCATTCTGACGTATGTCAATCATCTGAAGTTTCCTAAAGCAGGTCGTCCTCCATTCAAGCCTTCACTATAGATCTTCTCTCCTCCCAGATGATCACCTCCCTGCACCAGGCGATCGGAACGTCTAGAACGAGACCGCGACCACCATCTGCAGAGGATACAGAGCCTGGAAGGTGAGAGGTCGGGACCTGTGCTGTGATTGGTCCGATCGGGGCTTCTTTTCAGCGGGAATGTGGGGGAACGCAGTTCTAGAACCTCCAGCACTGAATGTATGTAATGGCAAGGGGTAATAGGGGATCTATTTTTGCATGGGGGTCTGTTGTTGCTGGGGGGGGGGGCTATTGCTGCTAGAAAGGGTCTTATGTTTGTGGATGGTCATTTGTTGCTGGGAAGGATCTAATGTTGAGGGAGGGGTCCATTCTTACTGGCTGCTGGAGGGTTTATTGATGCTGCCAGCAGTCTACAAGCCCCGATGAGGGGGGGAGCGGATGTTTTTTTTCTACTCTTAAGATGAATAAAAATGAAGCTGGACTTTCAGCTGCATGCGTGACGATCGCTCTGGGAGGGGAAGGTTTGTACTCGTCTGTTGGACTCCAGTATGTGGATCAGAAAATGAAACCGTATTGTGCGGGTACAAGGCCTGTGACATCCGTGTGCTGGGAACACCGTGAATAGGTCATATGCCCCTCTAACCCCCTCCCCACTGCAATGCAGCCACACCCACAATTCAGCGCTGCGCGATATGCGCACAAGTTCATTCTTTCAAGACTTCTGCCAAATCCCAGGACAATGGAGAAGAAATGCCGGCTGAGGACACCAGTGCTTGGTAAAGGTGGAAAGAGATCCAGTGGAAGTTGGGGATCCCTCCAGTCCCATCAGTCACCCGCTAAGACCATTTCATGTATTTTGCAGAAGAGGTGCGCCGGTTGGCCGCTGTGCGGGGAGAAGTGACGGAGTCCCTGCTGGACCGGAAGGTAGAAGGGCTGAAACAGGAGATGTCCTGTGAACTGCGCCACCTGCAGGATGTAGTGAGAGAGACACTGCGGGTCTCCAGCCCCTCCCTGCGATCCACAACCAGCATCCTACATGAGGTCAATGAGAAGTAAGTTTGAAACAGCTTTCTTTCCCTCTTTCTTCTCTCTCCTCTCCTCTCCCCCCCTCTCTCTCCCTCTCCCCCCCTCTCTCTCCTCTCCTCTCTCTCTCCTCTCCTCTCTCTCTCCTCTCCTCTCCCCTCTCTCTCTCCTTCTCCCTCTCTCTTTCACCCCCCCTCTCTCACCGCTCCTCTTTCTCCCCCCCTCTCTCTCCCTCTCTCTTTCACCCCCCCCTCTCTCCTCCTCTCTCTTTCACACCCCCCCCCCCTCCCTCTCTCTTTCACACCCCCCCTCTCCCTCTCTCTTTCACCCCCCTCTCTCCCTCTCTCTTTAACACCCCCCCTCTCCCTCTCTCTTTCACCCCCCTCTCTCTCCTCTCTCTTTTCTCTTTCTCCCCCTCTCTCCCTCTCTCTTTCTCCCCCTCTCCTCCCTCTCTCTTTCTCCCCCTCTCTCCCTCTCTCTTTCTCCCCCCTCTCTCCCTCTCTCTCTTCTCCCCCCTCTCTCCCTCTCTTTCCTTCCCCCCTCTCTCTCCCTCAAAATTCCTCTTTTCCTCCCCCCTCTCTCCCTCTCTTTCTTTCCCCCCTCTCTTTCTTCCCCTCCTCTCTCCCTCTCTTTCTTCCCCCCCCCCTCTCCCTCTCTTTCTTTCCCCCCCCCTCCTCCCTCTTTCTTCCCCCCCCCTCTCTCCCTCTTTCTTTTCCCCCCCCTCTCTCCCCCCTCCCTCTCCCCCCTCTCTTCCCCCTCCCTCCCCCCCCTCTCTCTCTCCTCCCCCCCCTCTCTCTCTCTCTCCCCCCCCTCTCTCTCTCCCCCCCCCCTCTCTCTCTCCCCCCCCTCCTCCCTCTCTCCCCCCTCCTCCCTCTCTCTCCCCCTCTCTCTCCCCCCCTCTCTCTCTCTCCCCCCCCTCTCCCCCCCTCTCTCCCCCCCTCTCTCTCCCCCCCTCTCTCTCCCCCTCTCTCTCTCCCCCTCTCTCTCTCCCCCCTCTCTCTCCTCTCCCCCTCTCTCTCCCCCCTCCCCCCCCCCTCTCTCCTTCAAATGAGCTTTATTGGTAGGACCAAATACATTTTTATCATTGCGAATGCAGCTGAGTTTGTCTGGGCAGGGGGGGTAGTTCTATGGCAGTCTATGAGAGTAATATAAAGGGGGACAGGGGAAGAGTCAGCCTTTCTCCTTTTTCTCGCTCTCTTTCTCGACACATCAAATGCAGATCATTGCGGTGCCTTGAGGCTTTACATTCCTCCACTTCTCTCGTGTGCTGGGAACGCTCTACGGCCGCGCCTGCGCAGTCCACTCCAATCATATAAAAGCTTGCTGAATATCGCTGTGTGAAGCACTTCAAAGATGCGACATTTGCAGACTTCTACTAATCACTAAGCGTTCAGATGGTGCAAGTTGTACAGGAGAGTTGGGTTCCACTGCAAGGGTGTAAACAATCACCCGGGAGCACACGAGGTGCAGGCAACTGTCTGTGTTGCCCACAGCAGCCATCCATAAACTAGTTCTCCAGGTTTTTTTGAGACCCTTCATTTCCGTCCCCCCTTTCCCCCCTGTGGGGTCTGCCTGGTGACATCCCTGTGGAAACATGAAATGCACCTTCCATGTGCGTTTATGTCGCCATTCTTGTGTTTTGCAGTAAACGGCTGATTTGGAAAGAATACGAAAGTCTGCGCAGAGACACCGACTACCTGCACCAGAGATTACGTGAGTGCTGTCTGATGAGACTCTTGTGCAGGACGTAGCTTGGTGACAGGTGCTCTTTGTCAGCTGGGTTGTCTTTCATTTTGATTATCTTTCCTAGCAGGGCGGCAGGAGGACGACATACTGCGGCAAATTTCCGAAGGACAAGAGCTGAAGAGAGCGCAAGAAAGGAATGCCTGTGTGAGTGGGGGGGCTGCGTGCGGGGAAGACTCGCTGGTTTGGTGTGAAATTGGTTAACCCCTTACTGCTGCCTGCCCTGGCCTCCCTTTAACCACCTCCCATCCGGCCGTTATATATAAACGGCCAGACGGTGGCAGTGCAGGGTCGGGTGGCCGTTTATAAACGTCCTCACCGCACCCTGCTTATGCGCGCTCCCTGGGAGCGCGCATTGCCGCGATCTGGTGCCCACTGTGTCCAATCATCGGGCGGGACCTCTGTGCGAGGTCCCGATCATGTGATCACTGATTGGCCAATCGGTGATCTTATGCAGAGTAGTAAGCAAGATGTCACTTCTGACATCATTGCTTACTATGTGTGAAATCTGTGAATGATCACAGAGATCACATGGTACAGGGCTATTCACAACAGTCTTGTACCATGTGACAAGCTGTGACCAATCAAAGCTCACACAGTATTTCTCAATGGCTGCAGGAATGCAGCCAGAGAGAAGGAGAAATGATTCCTCTTACATCCTTAATGGGTGTAAAAGCAATCGGTGTAAAAAATGTCATCACCCCCCACAGGTAGTACAGTGTCACCATGGTGACACTGCACTGCTAGGGTGACAGTATGTAAAAAAAAAACAAAAAAAAAATGTAACAAAAAGTTTAAAAATTATAATTTTTGGATATAAACTAATTTTGTTTTTTTTTACTAAAAAGATAACGGAATAAATTTTGACAGAGATTTATGATGAAATATTATTTATTTGCAAAATGTTCTAGGAAAAACACTTTTTTTTCAAAATGTTTGGACATTTTCATTTATATAGCAAAGAAAATAATAATCCCAGCGGTGAATAAATACCACCAAAATAAAGCTTTATCTGTCTCAAAAAATGCTAAAAAATTCATATGGGTACAGTGTAGCATGACCGCACAATTGTCATTCAAAGTGTAATAGCGCTAAAAGCTGGACCGGAAGGGGGGGGGGGAAGTGTCCGGACCAGAAGGGGGGGGGGAAAGTGTCCGGACCGGAAGGGGGGGGGGGGGGGGGGGAAAGTGTCCGGACCGAGGGTGGGGGGAAGTGTCTGGACCGGAAGGGGGGGGGGAAAGTGTTCGGACCGGAAGGGGGGGGGAAAGTGTCCGGACCGGAAGGGGGGGGGAAGTGTCCGGACCGGAAGGGGGGGGGGAAAGTGTCCGGACCGGAAGGGGGGGGGGGGAAGTGTCCGGACCGGGGGTGGGGTGGGGGGAAGTGGACCGGAAGGGGGGGGGAGTGTCCGGGACCGGAAGGGGCGGGGGAGTGTCCGGACCGGAAGGGTGGGGGGGCGGGGGGAAAGTGTCCAGACCGGGGGGGGGGGGGGGGGGAAAGTGTCCCGACCGGAAGGGGGGGGGGGGGGGGAAGTCGGGTGGAAGTGTCCGGACCGGGGGTGGGGTGGGGGGGGGGGAAAGTGTCCGGACCGGAAGGGGGGGGGAGTGTCCGGACCGGAAGGGGCGGGGAAGTGTCCAGACCGGAAGGGGGGGGGGAAGTGACCGGAAGGGGGGGGGAAGTGTCCAGACCGGAAGGGGGGGGGGGAAGTGACCGGAAGGGGGGGGGAAGTGTCCGTACCGGAAGGGGGGGGGGAGTGTCCGTACCGGAAGGGGGGGGAGTGTCCGGACCGGAATTGTGGGGGGGGGGGGGGGAGTGTCTGGACTTGAAGTGGTTTTAAACTGTTTTGAACCCCCAGGAGATGGGAAGGATTGGTGGTCATGTGACCATTGTTAGTGGTCACATGATTGGCAGCCGATCTGGCCGGCTGTTCTTTAGTCCAGCGTCAGGTTGTGCTGGCGGCATGCAGTGGGGCGCCCTCTCAGCGCAGGAACATTGGCTGTCCGTGATGTATACGTGTGTCATGTGGGAGTTAAAGCCCCCCCTATATATAATACATGTTGGGTGGTTGTAAAGGAGTTAACGTGTTTTTCTAAACTCCATATATAGCAGCTTACTGGTCCTTCGATATGGCGGCTGCATTCGTTTTCTTTTTTTTTTCCACGTATCTTTTCCTTTATTTTGACCTGACGATCCTGCCAGTAACATACTTTTCTGTCCTAAGGTGGCAACGCTCATTCACTGCACTTCGTGGCGTCACCCAGGCTGCTCTCCTGTGTTGACCTTAATAACACCTCCGCTTTGTAGCTCACAGATTGGTTCGTTTGAGATTTCAGTTCAATATACAGGAAGCTGAATGGACAGCTCTTGGTGTTGGTTTACTAAAACTAGAGAGTGCAAAATCTCCACTTTTGGGCAGCACAGCAGCTAAGTGGTCAGCACTTCCACCTGGCAGTACTCGGGTCGTTGGTTTGAATCCCATCTATGGCACCACCTGCCTGGAGTTTGCATGTTCTCCCTGTGCCTGCGTGGGTTTCCTCCGGGTACTCCGGTTTCCTTCCAAACTTCAAAGACATGTTGGGAGGTGAATTGGCTCCTGTCTACATTGGCCCCAGTATGTGAGTTAAGGACCTTCGATTGTACGCCCCTCGGGGGGCGGGGACTGATGTTATATATGTGAAGTGCTGCGTAAATTGATGGCGCTATGTAAGTACCTCTAATATATAAAATAAATTAACCCCCCGCCCTCCAAAGGATTCCCCCCCCCCCCCCCCCTTCCTGACCAGGCCATTTTTGCAGTACGGCGCTGCGTTACTTTAACTGACAATTGCGCGGTCATGCAACGCCGTACGTAAATGATGTCCTTTTTTCCCCCATGAATCCGAGGACCGGTAGGCTGCAATATGACATTTCTTTTTAAATATAATTTAAAGATGAACTCCGGGATAATGAATCGATCGGTCGTGTCTTCTGGGCTCTCGGCGAGCTGTTTGTGTATTTCTTCCAGATCCGTGTTGTAATCCAGGGTGCGGCTTCTGGTAAAAAAGAACGCTCACTGCTGCTCTCTCTCCTTGTGCAGGGAAACTGGTCTGGTCTCCGCCCCTTTTCTATAGTTTTTTGTAATGGGTGGAGCCTGCTGGGCCCCTCCCACAGCTCTGCTGTCTCTTCTTGGACAGGATGACTGGTCTTGTCCCCACCCCCTTCTTTAGTTTTATGTAGTGGGTGGAGTCTGCTGGGTCCCTCCCACAGCTCTGCGCTCTCTCTCCTTGTGCAAGAGTACTTGTCTCCACCCCCTCCTGTAGTTTTATGTAGTGGTTGGCGCCAGCTGGGCCCCTCCCACAGCTCTGCTGTCTCTTGTTGGACAGGGTGACTGGTCTTGTCTCCACCCCCTCCTGTAGTTTTATGTAGTGGGTGGAGCCTGCTGGGTCCCTCTTACAGCTCTCTCTCCTTGTGCAGTGTGACTTGTCTTTTCTCCGCCCCCTTCTGTAGTTTTATGTAGTGGGTGGAGCCTGCTGGGTCCCTCCCACAGCTCTGCGCTCTCTCTCTCCTTGTGCAAGAGTACTTGTCTCCACCCCCTCCTGTAGTTTTATGTAGTGGTTGGCGCCAGCTGGGCCCCTCCCACAGCTCTGCTGTCTCTTGTTGGACAGGGTGACTGGTCTTGTCTCCACCCCCTCCTGTAGTTTTATGTAGTGGGTGGAGCCTGCTGGGTCCCTCTTACAGCTCTCTCTCTCCTTGTGCAGGGTGACTGGTCTTTTGGCCGCCCCCTCCTGTAGTTTTATGCAGTGGGTGGAGCCTGCTGGATCCCTCCCACAGCTTTCCTTGTGCAGGGCAACTGGTCTTTTCTCCGCCCCCTTCTGTAGTTTTATGTAGTGGGTGGAGCTTGCTGGGCCCCTCCCACATCTCTGCTGTCTCTTGTTGGACAGGGTGACTGGTCTTGTCTCCACCCCCTAATCTAGTTTTTTTTAAGTAGTGGGTGGAGTCTGCTGGGCCCCTCCCACAGCTCTACACAGGCTATCTACAGCACAGTGATGATGTCACTGCCCACCAAAATATCAAACAAGCAACGAAAAGATTCCTGGGGCTGATTGTGATCATTGCTGGTTATACTGGAAAGTTTAAGCTGTACTCTTATTATTTTTTATAATTTTCTTTATCAATAAACTTTATTAACACCAGAAAAGCGTGCAAAAGAGTAAGCGCTTCTCACCCGCAATACAGGCTTAGGGCGGTTGTTCGCACTACACTCCGATTGGATCACATTTACCAAAATGATGTCATCCGAGGACAAACCTATACAATCCAGGCAATTTCTGTCCAATCACACAGCCCCATATTGCATTGTTTGTAGATCTAAAGGAGATTGTAACATCAGATTGCATGGTGTATGGCCAGCTTTAGCCCTATGGGTGTAAGACCATGTTATGGGCGAAATGCGTCAGAGGCGGAGCATGTCAGGCAGAGGCGGGGTATGTTTGAGTGACCTCGCTTGCTCTTTTGCTCACCTTTCTGGTGTTCATAAAGTTTATTGTGAAACTGAGGGTAAGAGACCGATCCCTGAAAGCGCAGAGCTGGTCGGTGCCATTTGGGAGTATTGGGGGGCGATGCTGTAATCGGGGGGACATCTGAGCTGGAAATCTCCACTAATAATTCTGTGTGTTGCGCAGGCTCTGGAGGGGTTACTGAGCACCAATCAGATGCAGACGCAGGAGCTGAGCAGGACGCGGTTGGACGCGCAGAGTGTACAGAGGGATCTGCTGCAGATCAGGTGGGTGCGTCCAATCAGAAAAGAGCGTTCTTATACTTCGAAAAACGGTAAATATATTCGATATGTTGTGTGCATGGAAACACTTCATTGGATGACCCCTTAGGACTGGGGGCGGGGGGATTGTGTTGGAGTAAAAAAAAGGTGGGGCCAATAAAAGGTGGGAGGGGTTACAAGAGAGAGTCCCCACACAACTGGTGCACAGAGTTCCCCCATTGGTCTCCTCTGCGCGGTGTCAGCCTATCCAGGTGGAGGCAGCGATCAGAGGAGCTGGGCGGAGGAACGTTCGTCCACCAGAAGTAGATGACGAGGCTGCGGGGTCCATCATGATATGACACTCTTCTTGTACTGCATCCGCCCCCCCCCCCCCCCCCCCCCCCCACACCCTTACACACCCCCCCCCCCCCCACACACACACATGCACGCTTACCCCCCCACCCCCACACACACACACACACGCACCCTTACCCCCCCCACACCCCACACACACACACACACACACCCACACCCTTACCTCCCCCACACACGCTTACCTCCCCAAACACACACATGCACGCTTTACCCCCCCCCCCCCCCCCCCCACACACACACACACGCACCCCCCACACACGCACCCTCACCCCCCCCCCCCCACAGACACACACACCCTTACCTACCCCACACACGCACCCCCCCCCCCCCACAGACACACACACCCTTACCTCCCCACACACCCTTTCCCCCCCCCCCCCCCCACGTCCCGCCTTCTTTCAGTCTTTGGGGGGGAGTTTCAATAGCATATATGTCACATTTTGTAGCGTTTGATCCTTTTGGATCAGTAATACAAAAAAAAAGTCAATGATAAAACTGGGGATGTCCTGATATCGTGGTCTGTTTGATCTGTTCTGGGGATGTCCTGATATCGTGGTCTGATTGATCTGATCTGGGGATGTCCTGATATCGTGGTCTGTTTGATCTGATCTGGGGATGTCCTGATATCGTGGTCTGTTCTGGGGATGTCCTGATATCGTGGTCTGTTTGATCTGTTCTGGGGATGTCCTGATATCGTGGTCTGTTTGATCTGATCTGGGGATGTCCTGATATCGTGGTCTGTTTGATCTGATCTGGGGATGTCCTGATATCGTGGTCTGTTTGATCTGTTCTGGGGATGTCCTGATATCGTGGTCTGTTTGATCTGATCTGGGGATGTCCTGATATCGTGGTCTGTTTGATCTGATTTGGGGATGTCCTGATATCGTGGTCTGTTTGATCTGATCTGGGGATGTCCTGATATCGTGGTCTGTTTGATCTGTTCTGGGGATGTCCTGATATCGTGGTCTGTTTGATCTGTTCTGGGGATGTCCTGATATCGTGGTCTGTTTGATCTGATCTGGGGATGTCCTGATATCGTGGTCTGTTTGATCTGTTCTGGGGATGTCCTGATATCGTGGTCTGTTTGATCTGTTCTGGGGATGTCCTGATATCGTGGTCTGTTTGATCTGATCTGGGGATGTCCTGATATCGTGGTCTGTTTGATCTGATCTGGGGATGTCCTGATATCGTGGTCTGTTTGATCTGTTCTGGGGATGTCCTGATATCGTGGTCTGTTTGATCTGTTCTGGGGATGTCCTGATATCGTGGTCTGATTGATCTGATCTGGGGATGTCCTGATATCGTGGTCTGTTCTGAGATGTCCTGATATCGTGGTCTGTTTGATCTGTTCTGGGGATGTCCTGATATCGTGGTCTGATTGATCTGATCTGGGGATGTCCTGATATCGTGGTCTGTTTGATCTGATCTGGGGATGTCCTGATATCGTGGTCTGTTCTGGGGATGTCCTGATATCGTGGTCTGTTTGATCTGTTCTGGGGATGTCCTGATATCGTGGTCTGTTTGATCTGATCTGGGGATGTCCTGATATCGTGGTCTGTTTGATCTGATCTGGGGATGTCCTGATATCGTGGTCTGTTTGATCTGTTCTGGGGATGTCCTGATATCGTGGTCTGTTTGATCTGATCTGGGGATGTCCTGATATCGTGGTCTGTTTGATCTGATTTGGGGATGTCCTGATATCGTGGTCTGTTTGATCTGATCTGGGGATGTCCTGATATCGTGGTCTGTTTGATCTGTTCTGGGGATGTCCTGATATCGTGGTCTGTTTGATCTGTTCTGGGGATGTCCTGATATCGTGGTCTGTTTGATCTGATCTGGGGATGTCCTGATATCGTGGTCTGTTTGATCTGTTCTGGGGATGTCCTGATATCGTGGTCTGTTTGATCTGTTCTGGGGATGTCCTGATATCGTGGTCTGTTTGATCTGATCTGGGGATGTCCTGATATCGTGGTCTGTTTGATCTGATCTGGGGATGTCCTGATATCGTGGTCTGTTTGATCTGTTCTGGGGATGTCCTGATATCGTGGTCTGTTTGATCTGTTCTGGGGATGTCCTGATATCGTGGTCTGATTGATCTGATCTGGGGATGTCCTGATATCGTGGTCTGTTCTGAGATGTCCTGATATCGTGGTCTGTTTGATCTGTTCTGGGGATGTCCTGATATCGTGGTCTGATTGATCTGTTCTGGGGATGTCCTGATATCGTGGTCTGATTGATCTGTTCTGGGGATGTCCTGATATCGTGGTCTGTTTGATCTGTTCTGGGGATGTCCTGATATCGTGGTCTGATTGATCTGTTCTGGGGATGTCCTGATATCGTGGTCTGATTGATCTGATCTGGGGATGTCCTGATATCGTGGTCTGTTCTGAGATGTCCTGATATCGTGGTCTGTTTGATCTGTTCTGGGGATGTCCTGATATCGTGGTCTGTTTGATCTGATCTGGGGATGTCCTGATATCGTGGTCTGTTTGATCTGTTCTGGGGATGTCCTGATATCGTGGTCTGATTGATCTGTTCTGGGGATGTCCTGATATCGTGGTCTGATTGATCTGATCTGGGGATGTCCTGATATCGTGGTCTGTTCTGGGGATGTCCTGATATCGTGGTCTGTTTGATCTGATCTGGGGATGTCCTGATATCGTGGTCTGTTTGATCTGTTCTGGGGATGTCCTGATATCGTGGTCTGTTTGATCTGATCTGGGGATGTCCTGATATCGTGGTCTGTTTGATCTGTTCTGGGGATGTCCTGATATCGTGGTCTGTTTGATCTGTTCTGGGGATGTCCTGATATCGTGGTCTGATTGATCTGTTCTGGGGATGTCCTGATATCGTGGTCTGATTGATCTGATCTGGGGATGTCCTGATATCGTGGCCTGTTTCTGGGGATGTCCTGATATCGTGGCCTGTTCTGGGGATGTCCTGACATCGTGGCCTGTTCTGGGGATGTCCTGATATCGTGGCCTGTTCTGGGGATGTCCTGATATCGTGATCTGTTCTGGGGATGTCCTGATGTCATGATCTGTTTGATCTGTTCTGGGGATTTCCTGACATCGTGGCCTGTTCTGGGGATGTCCTGACATCGTGGTCTGTTCTGGGGATGTCCTGACATCGTGGTCTGTTCTGGGGATGTCCTGATGTCATGATCTGTTTGATCTGTTCTGGGGATTTCCTGACATCGTGGTCTGTTCTGGGGATTTCCTGATATCGTGGCCTGTTCTGGGGATGTCCTGATATCGTGGCCTGTTCTGGGGATGTCCTGACATCGTGGTCTGTTCTGGGGATGTCCTGACATTGTGGTCTGTTCTGGGGATGTCCTGATATCGTGGCCTGTTCTGGGGATGTCCTGATGTCATGATCTGTTTGATCTGTTCTGGGGATTTCCTGACATCGTGGTCTGTTCTGGGGATTTCCTGATATCGTGGTCTGTTCTGGGGATTTCCTGACATCGTGGTCTGTTTCAGGTCAGCGATTGGAGATCTGAAGGAAGAGGTGAGAATTCTGGAAGGGAAGATCTCTGTGAGGCCCCCCAAGGCAGACAGAGCGGGTGAGTACAATGCTGCAATCAATCTGTGAAACGCGTCGCCTCGGGAGCCGTGTACTCAGGAGGGATGTAGATATGGCGGCTCCATAGGCTTCTGGAATGTTCTATTTACGGGGATTTCCAACCCCCCTACTATAGTTTTTAACATGTGGTGTGTTTTTTTTTTTTTTTTACCAATGATTGTTTTACATGTATTTACCAGAAAAGTCCACATTTCTTCCCTTCCGGGTATATTTTTTCTAGGATGCGGTACAAATAAGGGGAGCCGACTTTTGTAAAAAAAAAAAAAAAAAAAGTTTAAAGTGGTTGTGAAACCTTCCATATCCCCGGTGCAGTGACCGGCCTCAGGTGATACACAGGAAACAAATCCTCCTACATAAGTTGTACCTGTGTATCTGCAGGTTTCTCTTTACATCCATCCAAAATGCTGAATTTATAAAGCTTGTCTGAAAGTTAAGAAGAAAGGGGCAGAGAGATGAAATTACACACCGCACAGCTCAGTGAGGAGAGTTCTGAGAGCTGATTGGAGAGAAGAGATGCACCCCCACCCCTTAACACAGCTCACAGGAACAGAGCTGAGGCTGTCAATCACAGCCTGCCAATCTCCTGTCACCATTTTTTCTCTTGGTGTCAGGAAAACTTGTCATAAGTGGCTCATGCTGATAGAAGAGGAAGGAGGCAGCAGACAGAAATGACACTCAGAGCTCTGGACTGAGACCAGTACACACTAGAGAGGGATGTGCTTTGTTCACATTTCATGTCTGAGCTTTACATCCACTTTAACTCTTGGGAGGGCCGCTTCGAGACGGCGTTTGCCCCCAATCCTGGCTTTTATCTCCGATGCAGCGAGACTACGGGTGGAAGGTTCTGGTTTATCCAGACTGGAACATTTCCTATGTCAATAGGCCACGAAACCTTCTGTATGGGGTCATATATTGGTGAACAGAGATTAGGAAGTCAGTGTAAGGTGACACCTCTATATGATGTTATCACATTCTGATGTTTACATTTACTATGACTTTTATGCCTCCAGCACTTTGTATGTTTTACCTTTGAACCCTCAATAAATGCCGATTGAAACGTGGAGTAGACTCCCTCAAGAGTTGGTTGTGGCCAGCTCAGTGGATTGCTGGAGGAAAGTCCTGGATTCTTTCTTGGATACACAGAATATAACTGGATATAACATTTATAGGGACAGTTGATCCAGGGAATATCCAGGACTTCTCCAGAGCTTCCCCCATCCTCTGGAACTCTCTACCCCAATTTATCAGACTATCGCCTACTCTGCTCACTTTTAGGCGATCTCTGAAAACCGATCTCTTCAGGGAAGCCTATCCTGCCCTCAGCTAATACTGGAATCTTCTACTCCTCCTACCAGTCCATCCCCCACAGTTACTACCTTTTGTACCACTAGCCCCTCCCTCCTAGATTGTAAGCTCCCAGGATCAGCCCCTCCCTCCTAGATTGTAAACTCCCAGGATCAGGGCCCTCCCTCTTAGATTGTAAGCTCCCAGGATCAGGGCCCTCCCTCCTAGATTGTAAGCTCCCAGGATCAGCCCCTCCCTCCTAGATTGTAAACTCCCAGGATCAGGGCCCTCCCTCTTAGATTGTAAGCTCCCAGGATCAGGCCCCTCCCTCCTAGATTGTAAGCTCCCAGGATCAGCCCCTCCCTCCTAGATTGTAAACTCCCAGGATCAGCCCCTCCCTCCTAGATTGTAAGCTCCCAGGATCAGCCCCTCCCTCTTAGATTGTAAGCTCCCAGGATCAGCCCCTCCCTCCTAGATTGTAAACTCCCAGGATCAGGGCCCTCCCTCTTAGATTGTAAGCTCCCAGGATCAGGCCCCTCCCTCCTAGATTGTAAGCTCCCAGGATCAGCCCCTCCCTCCTAGATTGTAAACTCCCAGGATCAGCCCCTCCCTCCTAGATTGTAAGCTCCCAGGATCAGCCCCTCCCTCTTAGATTGTAAGCTCCCAGGATCAGCCCCTCCCTCTTAGATTGTAAGCTCCCAGGATCAGGCCCTCCCTCTTAGATTGTAAGCTCCCAGGATCAGGCCCCTCCCTCTTAGATTGTAAGCTCCCAGGATCAGGCCCCTCCCTCTTAGATTGTAAACTCCCGGGATCAGCCCCTCCCTCTTAGATTGTAAGCTCCCGGGATCAGCCCCTCCCTCTTAGATTGTAAGCTCCCGGGATCAGCCCCTCCCTCTTAGATTGTAAGCTCCCGGGATCAGCCCCTCCCTCTTAGATTGTAAGCTCCCGGGATCAGCCCCTCCCTCTTAGATTGTAAGCTCCCGGGATCAGCCCCTCCCTCTTAGATTGTAAGCTCCCGGGATCAGCCCCTCCCTCTTAGATTGTAAGCTCCCATGATCAGGCCCTCCCTCTTAGATTGTAAGCTCCCAGGATCAGGCCCCTCCCTCTTAGATTGTAAGCTCCCAGGATCAGGCCCCTCCCTCTTAGATTGTAAGCTCCCAGGATCAGGCCCCTCCCTCTTAGATTGTAAGCTCCCAGGATCAGGCCCCTCCCTCTTAGATTGTAAGCTCCCAGGATCAGGGCCCTCCTATCCCTCATGTATTGAACTGTATTGTTGCTGTATTGTCTCCCATTATATTGTACAGCGCTGAGCACACTGTTGGCGCCATAAATCCTGTATAATAATAATAAAGCCTTGAGTCGATCTTTGAAAACTCACTTATTCAGGGAAGCCCACCTCACCTCCACCAGATCATCACCTGAAGCTCCCACCTTTTGTACCACCTCCCCCTCCCTTTAGATTGTAAGCTCCACGAGCCGGGCCCCCCTATTCCTGCTGTACTGAAACGTGGAATAGTCTCCCTCCAGAGTTGGTTGTGGCCAGCTCAGTGGATTGCTGGAGGAAAGTCCTGGATTCTTTCTTGGATACACAGAATATAACTGGATATAACCAGGGGCGGACTGACAACTCATGGGGCCCCCAGGCAATAGGGGATCATGGGGCCCCTGTGTCCTTGCCCAAACTCGAAAAAGGTACCAGGGGCATCTCATGGGGCCCCCTACTGACCCTGGGCCCTCGGGCAGTGCCCAAGTTTCCAAATGATCAGTCCGCCCCTGGATATATCATTTATAGGGAAAGGTGATCCCGGGAACATCCGATTGCCTCTCGGGGGGTCAGGAAGGAACGTTTCCCCTGCAGGAGGAGATCGGATCGTGCTTTGCTGGGTTTTCTTGCCTTCCTCTGGATCAGCTGTGGGTGGAGGATTATACCTTTTATGTTTTTAATGGTTGAACTGGATGGACTTTTGTCTTTTTTTTCAGCCAGACTAACTATGTAACTCAAGCTGATGTTTTTGGTGATGTGTTTTTTTTTTTTGTACCAGGGAACTTACAATGAATAAAAAGTATCCCGTGTGCTGGTGGGGGCCACAGCCTGCCTAAAGCATCAGTCCTCTGTCCATGGATACCGCCACAGCCATGGTCTTCTGGTGTTGTAGGGGTTAAAATGAGCCGCTTTACCTGTGACAGTCACTTATCAAAAGTGATGAAGAAATGCCTGCCCCCCCCCACCCTCCTTACTCCCCCATGTACTCCACAGAAGTCCTGCTATTTGGTCCCACAATTTAAAGGCACAATAAGCACAGAGGGGGTGGACCTTTCATTCATCTGCCCTTCCTCCTAGGATGCTTTTCATTATGGGAACCAATAGCATGGCTTCTATGGAGATGGGGGGGGGCGGGCATAGTCGGTACTTTTGATGAGAACCTGTCACTTCAGTTTTGTGCCTATGGGTACTCCGGTAGCTGTGGTCTTCCAGTGCTGCGGTGGCATCCATGGGCAGAGGACTGATGTTTTAGACTGGACATGGTGCCCACCAGCACATAGGACACGTTTCATCATCAGGTGAAAAGGCCTTTTTTTTTTCCTTGGTGGTGTCTGTGCAGAGATGAAACGCGTTAGTTTGGGAATGCTTCCTGACGTCATCACGCCCGCTGGTGAACTTGCAGTGGAGCTTTTTTTTTTTTTTTTTTTTGTATGTCATTCTTTTTTTTTTTTAACCACCTCCCGTCCGGTTGTTGTATATATAAACGGCCGGACGGTGGCAGTGCAGGGTCAGGTGGCCGTTTAAAAACGTCCTCCCCTCCCCCTGCTTGTGCGCGCTCCCTGGGAGCACGCAGCACCGCGATCTGGTGCCTGCTGTGTCCTCCGGACACAGTGGAACACCGGTCGTCGGATGGGACTTCTGTACGAGGTCCCGATCATGTGATCACTGATTGGCCAATCAGCGATCACATGCAGAGTAGTAACCAATATGTCACTTCTGACAACATTGCTTACTACGTGTGAAATCTGTGAATGATCACAGAGATCACATGGTACAGGGACAAAAAAATGTTTTTAAAAATTATTTTTGGTTATAAACTAATTTTGGGTTTTGTCCGGACTGGAAGGGGGGGGGGGGGGGGGAAGTGTCCGGACTGGGAGGGGGGGAAAGAAGTGTCCGGACTGGAAGGGGGGGGGGGGGGGAGTGTCCGGACTGGAAGGGGGGGGGGGAGTGTCCGGACTGGAAGGGGGGGGGGGGAGGTGGGGGGGGGGGGGAAGCGTCCGGACCGGAAGGGGGGAAAGGGGGGAAGTGTCCGGACCGGAAGGGGGGGGCAAGCGTCCGGACCGGAAGGGGGGGGGGGGGAGAAGCGTCCAGACCGGAAGGGGGGGGGGGAAGCGACCGGAAGGGGGGGGGGAGGGAGAAGTGTCCGGACCGGGAGGGGAAGCGTCCGGACCGGAAGGGGGGGGGGGGGGGGGGGGAGAGAAGCGTCCGGACCGGAAGGGGGGGGGGGGAGCGTCCGGACCGGGAGGGGGGGGGGAAGCATCTGGACTGGAAGGGGGGGGGGGAAAGCGTCTGGACCGGAAGGGGGGGGGGGGGGGGGGGGGGGGAAGCGTCTGGACCGGAAGGGGGGGGGGGAAGCGTCTGGACCGGAAGGGGGGGGGGAAAGCGTCTGGACCGGAAGGGGGGGGGGGGGGGGGGGAAGCGTCTGGACCGGAAGGGGGTGAATAAACGTAATTCTGTTTTTAGTACACTATTATATGTGGAATTTGCCTTTTATGTTCTACATGGTGACAGCTGACAGTAGATCCCATAGTAGGTCCCATAGTAGGTCCCATAGTAGATCCCATAGTAGATCCCATAGTAGATCCCACAGTAGATCCCACAGTAGATCCCACAGTAGATCCCACAGTAGATCCCACAGTAAGTCCCATAGTAGGTCCCACAGTAGATCCCATAGTAGATCCCACAGTAGATCCCACAGTAGATCCCACAGTAGATCCCACAGTAGATCCCACAGTAGGTCCCATAGTAGGTCCCATAGTCGGTCCCATAGTAGATCCCATAGTAGATCCTACAGTAGATCCTATAGTCGGCGCGACAGAATAAAGGAAAATAAACCAACCTCTTGTCTCATCCAGTGAGATCATCTCTTTGCTTGTCTACAGGACGTCCCAGATCTGCCAGGAAGCCAATCAGCAAATCTCCATCACTGTCCTCGCTGGAAGACGCCCAATCACAGCTCAGCCTGGCTGACATCAGCTCTGAGGACACATCCTACAGTCTCGGTGTCCCCACAGTCTCTAGAGGTACCTTCTCAGCCCTATAACTGTATGAATGAGACCCAGGGTTGTCCATCACCTCCTCCTGAATCTCCCAGCTCTGCTTTGTCTTCACTGCCCTGTAAGACACGGGGGTCAAACTAGCGGCCGCCAAACTACAAGTCCCATGAGGCATTGCAAGATTGACAGTTACAAGCATGACTCCCAAAGGCAGAGGCATGATGGGACTTGTAGTTTCGCAACAGCTGGAGGGCCGCCAGTGTGACACCCGTGCTGTAAGGAAAGGCTGGGTTCATACTAGCCCATGCTCTGAATAGAGATACACAGAGGGTTGCCTTTCAGTGTGCAGCTAAGCATTCAGGTTGCAGTTGTGACATGAAAGGTCGAGTTTGACTGGCGGTTCCATCGATCAACTCGTCGTGCACAGCGCCACCACCCAGCATGTGAACAGACCCCATTGGCTGTATTTCAGACTTTAGGTGGGCATTGAAACCACATCTCAACCCCCTGTTTTTACTGCCCCTGACACCCATGATGTGGATTAGAACTCTTCCACCCAATGTTATCAAGTAGGGGAGAGGGAGGTGCTTTGTAGTCCTGTCCTAGGCTGACAACACTGCTATTATTTTGTTTCCAAATGTTTTTTAGGGAATATTCTCCCCCTGGGCCTTGCGCTGACCGCACCCTCTCCAACCAATGACCGAGGAGTCGCTGACGTCTCCCAGTCTCTGTTTGCGATTGAGAACTCTGTATGTTAACCCTCTCGGCGGCCCTTTAGGTGGCTTCCTGAGCACTTGATGGTCTGTGATTGGCTGGCCGGGAGTGATCGGTGACAGTGCGGTCATTGTGCTGGGAGAAGGAACCGCATGGAGTGCAAAGGCCCGACCTTTCTGCTGCTGGTGCACATGTGCATCTGAGGTTCTGATCAGGAGCCAGCGGGATAGGCTCCAGATCAGGTGACTGCTGCGATAGCCAATCACAGTCATCGTACTCAGGAAGCTCTCTGCCTCCTGGCATTAACACCCGCCTACAGAGAGGAGACATATAGACCGTGACACGGCTGGACACATGTAAGTGTTTGTGCTGAGATTTCCATGTCTACAGCGCAAATTTATTACCGTACCGGAGTCGTCATCCTAGCAACAGACCCTAGGCGTCCTTCAGAAGCTGCCTGTGTCCTAGCAACAGAGGATTCTAGGCAGCAGTAGGGGTCTGTGTCCTAACAATGAAGGATTTCTGGCTCCCAGGTGTCTCTCATACAGGTAACAAGCTGAGATTAGAAGCAGTCTCTTAAAGGGAGTGCTGCTAATCTCATTGTGTTACCTGTATAAAAGACACCTGTCCACAGGAGCCATCAAACCATCAGATTCCAAACTCTCCACCATGGCAAAGACCAAAGAGCTGTCCAAGGATGTCAGGGACAAGATGGTAGACCTACACAAGGCTGGACTGGGCTACCAAACTATGGCCAAGCAGCTTGGTGAGAAGGTGACAACAGTTGGTGCAATCATTCACAAATGGAAGAAACACAAAACAAGTGTCAGTCTCCCTAGGTCTGGTGCACCATGCAAGATCTCACCTCGTGGAGTGTCAATGATCATGAGAACAGTGAGGAATCATCCCAGAACTACACGTGAGGATCTTGTCAATGATCTCCAGGCAGCTGGGACCACAGTCACCAAGAAAACAATTGGTAACACACTACGCCGACAAGGACTGAAATCCTGCAGTGCCCGCACGGTCCCTCTGCTCAAGAAAGCCCATGTCCAGCTCGTCTGAAGTCTGCCACTGAACATCTGAATGATGCAGAGGAGGACTGGTGGGAAGTGTTGTGGTCAGAGGAGACCAAAATCCAGCTCTTTGGCATCAACTCAACTCGCCGTGTTTGGAGGAGGAGGAATGCTGCCTATGACCCCAAGAACACCATCCCAACTGTGAAACATGGTGGTGGAAACATTCTGCTTTGGGGGTGTTTTTCTGCTAAGGGGACAGGACAACTGCACCGCATCAAAGGGACGATGGACGGGGCAATGTACCCTCAAATCTTGGGGGAGAACCTTCTTCCCTCAGCCAGGGCATTGAAAATGGGTGGTGGATGGGTGTTCCAGCATGACAATGACCCAAAACACACGGCCAAGGCAACAAAGGAGCGGCTCAAGAAGAAGCACATTAAGGTCCTGGAGTGGCCTAGCCAGTCTCCAGACCTTCATCCGATTGAAAATCTGCGGAGGAGCTGAAAGTTCGAGTTGCCAAACGTCAGCCACCGAACCTTAATTACTTGGAGAGGATCTGCCAAGAGGAGTGGGCCAAAATCCCTCCTGAGATGTGTGCGAACCTGGGGGCCAACTCCAGGAAACGTCTGACCTCTGTGATTGCCAACAAGGGATTGGCCACCAAGTACTAAATCATGTTTTGTGAAGGGGATCCAATCCTTCTTTCCCTCATGAACATGCAGATCCGTCATCATTTGTTAGACGCATTTCTGCTGAATTTGTTGTTGAATTCTGTCTCTCAGTGTTACACCGAACATTCCATTGTTAGACCGATCGTTTCTGTGTGAGGGGCGAACATTCCATTGTTAGACCGATCGTTTCTGTGTGAGGGGCGAACATTCCATTGTTAGACCGATCATTTGTGTGAGGGGGCGAACATTCCATTGTTAGACCGATCGTTTCTGTGTGAGGGGCGAACATTCCATTGTTAGACCGATCGTTTCTGTGTGAGGGGCGAACATTCCATTGTTAGACCGATCATTTCTGTGTGAGGGGCGAACATTCACCATCGGGGGGGGCGGGCAAATACACATTTCCTGCACTGTATGGGCCACTTTGTGTCAGTCTATCACATCCAATCCCAATAAATACATTGTAACATGACAACATGGGGGACATTTCAGGGGGGAGGGGGAATACATTGTAACATGACAACATGGGGGACATTTCAGGGGGGAGGGGGAATACATTGTAACATGACAACATGGGGGACATTTCAGGGGGGAGGGGAATACATTGTAACATGACAACATGGGGGGACATTTCAGGGGGGAGGGGGAATACATTGTAACATGACAACATGGGGGACATTTCAGGGGGGAGGGGGATACATTGTAACATGACAACATGGGGGGACATTTCAGGGGGGGGAGGGGGAATACATTGTAACATGACAACATGGGGGACATTTCAGGGGGGAGGGGAATACATTGTAACATGACAACATGGGGGACATTTCAGGGGGGAGGGGAATACATTGTAACATGACAACATGGGGGACATTTCGGGGGGGGGAGGGGGAATACATTGTAACGTGACAACATGGGGGACATTTCAGGGGGGGGGGGGGAATACATTGTAACAGGACAACATGAGGGACATTTCGGGGGGGGGGGGATACATTGTAACATGACAACATGGGGGACATTTCGGGGGGGGGGGGAATACATTGTAACAGGACAACATGGGGGACATTTCGGGGGGGGGGGGGGGGGGGGGACTTCAAGGCGCTGTATGTTCCTGAACATTTCTGCATTTCCCCCCCCCCCCCCCCCCCCCCGTCCCCATTGGCTGCACTCTCTGGTCGGTGTACCCGCAGCGCAGTAACATTGTTTCTACATACGGAACACCTCGCTGGTTGCTCTGGGCAGCACAGCTGATACCCTGGGAGTTGGATGAACTTGCTGGTAAAAAAAATGGGGGGGGGGGGAGAAGTTAGTCTGTTGCCATGGAGACAGCTCGATATTTGGTACACCGAGTCATTTTGTAACTGCCGATTATCCTGGTTTGTACCCGCAGGGTCCCGGGAAAGATCCAGCAGGAGCCAGAAGACGCACAGCGACCTCAGCAATAGTAATCCCAGCGATGACGACCTGGATGACCTTTCTGACAGCCCCCCGGAGCTTAATTTCAGTGACTTGTGACGCCCCCACCTGGGCGGAGGCAGTAATCCTCTAATACACGATGGAAGGACATTGGCTGGGCTTTACAAGGGTCTGTGAGTAGAGGACGACTCTGGGGTGATGGAAAGCAAACCTGTCATGGCAGGAAGAAAAGAAACACTAAAGTATATTTTCAGTCATTTTTACCCCAAAGTGGAAGTCTCTAGTTGAAAAAAAAAATCCCGGCCCAGGACATGTAAAGATAGAAGAAAAAAAACAAACAAAAAAGCAACAAAAAAAAAAAAAACCCCATTCACTGCAATACTAGCCCTCAATCTGGAGCTTCCACCCGCAGGAATTCCTTCCTGCCACTAGATGTCTCCAGTCAGCTGACCTAAAGGCATGGTGTCCTGCATTGGCTTCTGTGAGCCTAGGCTGTCATGGACCCGCCCACTTGGGGGGTCTGTCATCCAATCAGCATGGGCTCACAGTACTGAAGCACAAATCCTATGCTACATTAAGGACCGTCCGCTGGGAAGAAGCACGGATGTGTGATGTCACTGGACTGGCTAAAATAATAAGGAAAAATTTAGATAGATACAGAGATATATATATATTATATAAAGATTTTTTTTCTTTTTTTGTTTAATCAAGTTTTATGGATTTCTGTTTTGGCTACTAGAGGGCGCTATCAGTGACTCAATGCTGTTACTGCTGTAGAGGTAAGAAGTCGGCCACGGGGGTGGGGGGGGGGGGGGGGGGGGGGAGGAAATATTTGATTAGGGAGTTGATCAACTCCTAGACTTGCATTGGAGACGGGGCAGTAAAGCAGAGACTTTGTAGTGCTGGGAACAGGAAGGGAGAGGAATTCTCCTCACCATGGACATGACATCCGATAAAACCTTCCCTGTGAGCTCTGTCCTGGGAACAGCCAGTGAGTGGAAATCTCCCCAGCCGGGATATGACATCATAAAACCTCTGTAATCTCTGTCCTGGGTACAGGAAGCGAGGGGAAATCTCCCCAGCCAGGATAAGAACGCCAATAAATTCGCTGTCCTCTCTGTTCTGGGAACAGGAAGTGAGGGGAAATCTCCTTGGTAGGGATATTACCTTCAATAAAACCTCTGTAATCTCTGTCCTGGGAACAGGAAGTGAGAGGAAATCTCCCCAGTAGGGATAGGACATCATAAAACCTCTGAAAATCTCTGTCTTTGGAACAGGAAGCAAGGGGAAATTTCCTCGGCAGGGATACGTCATAAAACCTCTGTAATCTCTGTCTTTGGAACAGGAAGCAAGGGGAAAATTTCCTCAGCAGGGATAAGAACACCAATAAAATCTGTCATCTCTGTCCTGGGAACAGGAAGCGAGGGGAAATCTTCCCAGCAGGGATAGGACATACAGTAAACAGGAAGTGAGAGAAAATCTCCCCAGCAGAGATTTGACATCATAAAACCTTCCCTCTCTCTGTCCAGGGAACAGGAAGTCAGGGGACATCTCCCCAGCAGGGATAGGACATACAGTAAACAGGAAGTGAGAGAAAATCTCCCCAGCAGAGATTTGACATCATAAAACCTTCCCTGGGATCTGTGTCATGGGAACAGGAAGTCAGAGGAAATTTCCCCCCCCCCCCTCCAGCAGGGATATAAACCTCCGTTAAAACTTGCTCTGTGATCTGTCCTGGGAACAGGAAGTGATGGGAAATATGACAGCCAATAAAATTCGCTCTTCTCCATCCAGAACTGAATGTTTTCCGCGGAGTCGTGCTTTCATCGCACACACTGGTGAAGAGGACGGACTCATTCGCTGAAGCTGTAGGTGGAAGTGGCCAAAGCCTCAAGACTTCCACCACCATTGGAAGACTCTTTTGGGGTTCAGAATTTTCCCCCCAATCCTTTGCACATGGACTCCGCCCTCTCGCTTGTTATGCTGCTATAGATTCCAGATATCTGTCTGGGCGAGGTGGGTGACGTGCTGAAAACCAACCGCTTTATATAATGGCTGCTAAATGTTTTATATTGGAATATTGTTTTTATATGACTCTGGAGACGGAAACCTTGGAATAAAGGGATGACCAACCTTCCCCAAGTCTTGTGTATGAGGGGGGGTAATGGGGGGCTGCATGGGTCATATTAAAAGACCCCAAGATTTTTTGGTGCCAAAGATCATTTGGCATCCAGCCCCCCCCCTCCGCAGAGGTGACTTGACCATTGACGCATTTCACCCAATAGGTAGTCTTTGGTGTCCCCTATGACCAAGCCCTTGTTGGGTGAAACGTATCAGAGGCGGAGTCATGTCTGCTGGGTAAGGAGATGCCAAATGGCAAACGTGATCTAGCAAAAAGACGATTTGTATGCTCATTCATCCTGGGGGGGACCCCAATGTAAGGGGCATTCTCCCCACTGACCCCCAATGTAAGGGACATTCTCCCCACTGACCCCCCAATGTAAGGGACATTTCTTCCCACTGACCCCCAATGTAAGGGACATTCTCCCCACTGACCCCCCAATGTAAGGGACATTCCTCCCACTGACCCCCAATGTGAGGGACATTCTTCCCACTGATCCCCAATGTGAGGGACATTTCTTCCCACTGACCCCCCAATGTGAGGGACATTCTTCCCACCGACCCCAATGTGAGGGACATTCTTCCCACCGACCCCCAATGTGAGGGACATTCTTCCCACCGACCCCCAATGTGAGGGACATTCTTCCCACCGACCCCCAATGTGAGGGACATTCTTCCCACCGACCCCCAATGTGAGGGACATTCTTCCCACCGACCCCCAATGTGAGGGACATTCTTCCCACCGACCCCAATGTGAGGGACATTCTTCCCACCGACCACCAATGTGAGGGACATTCTTCCCCACCGACCACCAATGTGAGGGACATTCTTCCCACCGACCCCCAATGTGAGGGACATTCTTCCCACCGACCCCAATGTGAGGGACATTCTTCCCACCGACCCCCAATGTGAGGGACATTCTTCCCACCGACCCCCAATGTGAGGGACATTCTTCCCCACCGACCCCCAATGTGAGGGACATTCTTCCCACCGACCCCCAATGTGAGGGACATTCTTCCCACTGACACCAATGTAAGGGACATTCTTCCCACTGACCCCCAATGTAAGGGACATTCTTCCCACTGATCACCAATGTAAGGGACATTCTTCCCACTGACCCCCAATGTAAGGGACATTCTTCCCACTGACGGACTGAACCCCCAATGTAAGGGACATTCTTCCCACTGACACCAATGTAAGGGACATTCTTCCCACCGACCCCCAATGTGAGGGACATTCTTCCCACTGACCCCCAATGTGAGGGACATTCTTCCCACCGACCCCCAATGTAAGGAGCAATGTTACCTATGAAGCTACAAACACAGATTTGGGGAAAATAAAAACTTTATTTCAAGAAGTAATAAAACTTGAGAGAAAACTGAATTTCAGTACAACACATCCTGGACCTAACAAGAACATTAACAACGTGGCCACATTTGGGGAGCCATTGGCTGGGCAACCTGAGTGCTAATATTGGACGACGCAATCTGCGGGGGCGGAGCTGGATCCTCATGGGTGGGGTCAGACGCCTGTTCACCTAGACACACCTGATACATAACAGCTGCAGAAGTTCCCGGGACTCCCGAGCATTGCTAGGTCTGTCCCATGCTGACTGGAAGGGACACCTACAGTCAGGTCCATAAATATTGGGACATCGACACAATTCTAACATTTTTGGCTCTATACACCACAATGGATTTGAAATGAAACGAACAAGATGTGTTTTAACTGCAGACTGTCAGCTTTAATTTGAGGGTATTTACATCCAAATCAGGTGAACGGTGTAGGAATGACAACAGTTTGCATATGTGCCTCCCGCTTGTTAAGGGACCAAAAGTAATGGGACAGAATAATATTCATAAATCAAACTTTCACTTTTTAATACTTGGTTGCAAATCTTTTGCAGTCAATTACAGCCTGAAGTGTGGAACACATAGACATCACCAGACGCTGGGTGTCATCCCTGGTGATGCTCTGCCAGGCCTTTACTGCAACTGTCTTCAGTTCCTGCTTGTTCTTGGGGCATTTTCCCCTCAGTTTTGTCTTCAGCAAGTGAAATGCTCCATCAGATTCAGGTCAGGTGATTGGCCATTGCAGAACATTCCACTTCTTTGGTTGCTTTTGCAGTCTGCTTTGGGTCATTGTCCATCTGCACTGTGAAGCGTCCAATGAGTTGTGAAGCATTTGGCTGAATATGAGCCGATAATATTCCCGAAACACTTCACAATTCATCCGGCTGCTTCTGTCAGCCGTCACATCATCAATAAATACAAGAGAAGCAGTTCCATTGGCAGCCATACATGCCCACGCCATGACACTACCACCACCATGATCACTGATGAGGTGGTATGCTGAGGACCATGAGCAGTTCCTTCTCCATACTCTTCTCTTCCCATCACTCTGGTACAAGTTGATGTCGGTCTCATCTGTCCATAGGATGTTGTTCCAGAACTGTGAAGGCTTTTTTACATGTCGTTTGGCAAACTCTAATCTGGCCTTCCTGTGTTTGAGGCTCACCAATGGTTTCCATCTTGTGGTGAACCCTCTGTATTCACTCTGGTGAAGTCTTCTCTTGATTGGTGACTTTGACACACATACACCTACCTCCTGGAGGGTGTTCTTGATCCGGCCAACTGTTGTGAAGGGTGTTTTCTTCACCAGGGAAAGAATTCTTCGGTCATCCACCACAGTTGTTTTCCGTGGTCTTCCGGGTCTGTTGGTGTTGCTGGGCTCACCGGTGCGTTCCTTCTTTTTAAGAATGTTCCAAACAGTTGTTTTGGCCACGCCTCATGTTTTTGCTATCTCTCTGATGGGTTTGTTTTGTTGTTTCAGCCTAATGATGGCTTCACTGATAGTGACAGCTCTTTGGATCTCATCTTGAGAGTTGACAGCAACAGATTCCAAATGCAAATAGCACACTTGAAATGAACTCTGGACCTTTTATCTGCTCATTGTAATTGGGGTAATGAGGGAATAACACACACCTGGCCATGGAACAGCTGAGAAGCCAATTGTCCCATTACTTTTGGTCCCTTAACAAGTGGGAGGCACATATGCAAACTGTTGTAATTCCTACACCGTTCACCTGGTTTGGATGTAAATACCCTCAAATTAAAGCTGACAGTCTGCAGTTAAAGCTCATCTTGTTCGTTTCATTTCAAATCCATTGTGGTGTATAGAGCCAAAAATGTTAGAATTGTGTCCATGTCCCAATATTTATGGACCTGACTGTATATCAGCCGCCTGTCTCCGTCTTCACTACCTTGTGATCTGGAACAAGCAAGTAGACAGTGCAGTCAGAACTCCTGAGCTGCATACTTGTTTCAGGTCTGAGAGCAGTGAAGCAACTGGATCGGCATGACAGCCAGGAAAGGAGTATTTTCAGCTTCCATACTTCTTTAGGATTGTCTGCAGAGACTGTAATACCCAGAACAGCCCAGGATTCAGCCCCGCCCTCCCCACAATCGCTCTGACCAATGGGGGGGGGGGGGCTCAGCTGGTAGCGCGCCCCAGGCTCGGGGCCCCCCACTCTTTATCCCGATGTCCGCCAGATCTGCTGCTACTTATACCGATAAATTACGACACGTTTCAGGCGGTGGCACTTAAAAGGATTGTCACGAAGCAAAATACATCACCTGTGTGCAAAGCCTCTGATGGAAGCTGTCGTTCTTTAGCTCCCAGTTCATATACTAGTTCTGGGGCGGTGCTATGAAGTCGCTCGGGCTCAGCTTGATTGGCTATAGAAACAGCATGTAACTGGGGAGTCAGCTTCCGTCAGAGCTGTCTCACACTTCTACGGTACCAAGTAGGAATTAAAGGAAACCATCGAAGGAGAAACATGGAGGCTGCTGTGCCTGAGCCACGCTTCTGAAAATGCTGATTGCCTGGCTCTTGTACCAATCTTTCAGCTTTAATACTTTGTGTCCAATCCAAGGCTGGGACTTCACTGGCTGCATGCTTACTCGGTGACGTACGGTATTAAAGCCGTGGGGGGAGGGGGGGGGGGGTCTGCCATAACTGGCCAGGCAATTGGCATTTCCAGGAGGTGAGCAGGAGCTTCTTACACTACAGACCGGCCTGAGAGACCTGAAGGAATCACTACAAGTCCCAGCAGTGAGGGTGGAGTGCATGCTGGGAGTTGTAGTCCGCACCGTCACATTTTGGCCAAGCTCTGCAGATCAGGTTCTAGTTCTGGCGTACTTTTTCTCTGATCAGATCTTCTGCCATTTGAGTGGCTGGCACCCTAATGGGGGTGGAGCCTCTCGAGATCTCCGTCTGGAGTGCGTTACCTGAAGGCGGGCTTTATTGCTGTAAGATTCAGTGCAGACGCAGCTCCCCTCCCCCTCCCGGGATCCACAACATGGCGGCACAGATATCCTGACGGTGGGGGGTGGGGTGGGGGCGCCGTTCCCGACAGGCCGCGGCTCGTAACCATTAGAGGAAGATTAAAGAAGAACTCCGCCCAGACTTCCCTTGAATACACACGCCGCCAATCTTCATGGAGCCCCGCCCACCGAATCCTCCGAGAAACGGCGACGACGCCCGGCGGTCCCCTGCGCAGCACCGGCAGCTCGCCGATTCCTTTCCTCTGGAGTCTCACTATTGCTGTGGGATAAATTATTTGGCATCTTAAGGAAACAGTTGGTGATCTTGCGGGGAGGATGCCCCCCGCCCCCCGCGCCAGGAACCGCCGCCGCCAGTAGTAGAATCTGCACTGTGCTTTGATTGGCACCCTTTTGGTGAATCCAGTCAGGGGAAACGGAAGGGGGGGGGGGGGAAGGGGTGCCCTGAAATTGGTGTTAGGTTCCGGCCTACTCTGCGAAGGCACGGTGGGGGAGGGGGGAGGGGCTGAGGGTGGGGAAGGGGGAGGGGCTGAGGGCGGGGGTCTGGCGGCACGCACGTTCCCGGTGCTCACAACAGAAGTCTTTGTGCAAAATAAGGCTGAGCGTGTTCTCCGCTAATAGCTGTACAGAGCGAGCGGCGTGTCCTCCATCATGTCGTCCTGCGGGGGAGAGAGAGAGCCACGGTGAGACAGCAGGCTGGACGTGACCCCCACTATTACCACCCCCCATCCCCCAGCATATCAATCTATTATACGTCTATGGACCCCTCCACACACTGCAAAGCTGAGGGGTCTTTATCGTTTCCCTTTCCAGGTCCCCCCTCCCCATCAACATGGGAATGACATATTTTAGATAAAAACCTTTCCACCTATAGTACAGACCTTACTGGGTCTCTGTGATTCTTTATGCAATGCAGGCAGATCATGGCTGGTGGGGGGGCAGCAGGATGCTGTACATCGCAGCCCCCTGCCTCAGTACTCCTCTTAACCCCTTCCAGTCCAGGCACTTTCCCCCCCTTCCAGTCTGGACGCTCCCCCCCCCCCCCCCCCCCCCCCCCCATGCCAATTTCCAGCTTTCAGCGCTCTCACACTTTGAATGACAATTGTGCGGTCATGCAACACCTATATGAATTTTTTACCATTTTTTTGAGACAGATAAAACTTTATTTTGGTGGTATTTATTCACTGCTGGGATTTTTATTTTTTTTGCTATATAAATGAAAAAGTCCAAAAATTTTGAAAAAAAGTTTTTCTTATAAATTTTTGCTTATAAATAATATTTCATCAAATCTCGGCCAAAATTTATTCCGTTATATTTTTAGTAAAAAAAAAATAACCCAAATTGGTTTATAACCAAAAATTATAGTTTTAAACTTTTTTTTTTTTATATTTATTTTTTACGTACCGTCACCCTAGCACAGTGATGGCGAACCTTTGTGAGCCCCGAGTGCCCAAACTGCAACCCAAAACCAACTTATTTCTTTCAAAGTGCCAACACTGCAATGAAACCTGAATATCGAGCTTTTGGTTTAGAAAAAACAACTCGTACAGAAGTGCAAACTAATTAACAGTACAGGGGATGACCAGAGACTGCAGACACGGTACAGGGATGACCAGAGACTGCGGACACAGTACAGGAGATGACCAGAGACTGCGGACATAGTACAGGAGATGACCAGAGACTGCGGACAGTACAGGAGATGACCAGAGACTGCGGACACAGTACAGGAGATGACCAGAGACTGCAGACACAGTACAGGAGATGACCAGAGACTGCGGACACAGTACAGGAGATGACCAGAGACTGCGGACATAGTACAGGAGATGACCAGAGACTGCGGACAGTACAGGAGATGACCAGAGACTGCGGACACAGTACAGGAGATGACCAGAGA